ATGATAGCGGGGCACTACCTTGCAGGCGATGGACGCGGTACTGGCTGCTGGCTGCTGCTGCGCTGCTGGTGCTGTCCTCTGTCCTCTCTGCCCTCTGCCCTCTGCCCTCTGTCCCGCCCGCTCCCCCCCCCCTCCCTCCCCCCTTCTCCGTTCTCTCGCTCTCGCGGCTGGAGTCGCGACGAACCGTGGGACGCCCAACTGACCCACTTCCCCCTCTCCCCCCCCCTTAGGCGCAACAAACAGTCTCCTTCCCTCTGTCCATGCCTCGGCCCTAACGAGATACGCCAGAAGCAGGTCGCTCCTGCCGCGCGCACCCTTTCTTTGATCGCCATGCCTTCCACCGCCTCCGCCTCCGCCTCCGCCTCCGCCGCCGACTCGCAGCCTCCCGACTCGTCGCAATCCGTCTCGCACAGCGCGTCCCTCAACGGCACCAACAGTGAAGGCGCCGTCCAGCCGGCCAATGCTGCCGTCAGCACCAATGGAACCGACAGCGCGCCCGGCGACAGCGACGCGATACGTGACAGCAAGCAAAAAGCCAAGGCCGTCATGGCAGCCTCGGGCGTAAACCTCACAGGCGCACAAGCTGCCATGCCATCTCCAGACTCGACCGAGCCCATCAACGGCGCGTCGCCCAGTCGCAAACGGTCGCGTTCAGGCACGCGCAAGCCGTCCCACAGCCCGACCCAGGACGAACTGCCGCGCCCGATCGCCTCGCAGAAGCATCTTCTTGACCGCTACATTGCACGCGACCTCTTGGACAGCGTCAACAAGTACGAGCGCAACAAGCACTCGGAACGAGTCTACAGCGAATTGAACGACTTGCGCCACTTTTATCGCGACGAGGTCTATCCTGTGCGCCGACTGACACCTGGCGCAATCTTTGGCTATGGATACGCCGGATATGGCAACGGCGTGACCGACGTTCCTCCCCCTCGAGACCCTCGCGCGCCCTCGCAAACTCACCTGCTGTACCCGGAGAGCGCCAAGCGCGCAGGTCGACGTCTTGCGCCACAGTTGAAAGTGGATAGAGAGAAAGGATCGCAGCAAGCAGAGCAGATTGAAGAGCTGGTACCGGTACGACTGGATATCGAGTTGGATCGCCTGAAGCTCCGAGATACATTCACCTGGAACTTGCATGACCGCGTCACGAACCCCCTCCTCTTTGCGCAGACACTCGTCGAGGACTTTCAGATACCACCAGAGCTACGGCAGACTGTCATCCAGCAGGTGGATCGCGAGATCAACGAACAGCTGCAGGACTACTACCCACACGCCTTCTTCGATGATGACCCGCTGGATCCCTCGTTGCCCTATTCCGCCTACAAGAACGATGAGATGCGGATATTGATCAAGTTGAACATCACCATTGGTCAACATACGCTTGTGGATCAATTCGAGTGGGAACTTAACAACCCTTTGAACCAGGCAGAGGATTTTGCAAGACAAATGGCAGCCGATCTTTCACTGTCCGGAGAATTCACCACGGCCATTGCGCACTCAATTCGAGAGCAATGCCAGATGTTCTCAAAGAGCTTGTACATCACAGGCCATCCATTCGACGGACGGCCTGTGGAGGACACCGACATACAGGACAACTTCCTGACATCGCCTCTGCCGTCTGTATTCCGACCCATGCAGTCAACCAAAGACTACCAACCGTACCTCTACGAGCTCAGTAATGCCGACCTGGAACGAGCCGAGTTGTCGATTATGCGTGAGCAAAGGCGACAGAAGCGCTCCGTCAACCGACGTGGAGGACCCGCGTTGCCAGATCTCAAGGATCGTCAACGGACCGTTCGTACGCTGGTAGTGTCTTCTGTGCTCCCCGGAGCAGCGGAGACCGTGGAAGAGAGCCAGCTGTTCAAGGCAACGCGCAAGGTAAAGGAAGGTCGCCGTCGGGCTGGTGAGGGAAGCTCAGATGAATCGGACAGTGATGATTCTGTGATGGAGTCACCCGCACCAGCAACGATGACTGGCGGTACAGCTCGAACACGTGGTATGCGGGGTGCTGCTACGGCCGCACAAGCTGCCATGAGATCCGCAATTGGGCGATCAGCAACTCCGGAGATCTCTGCGCTTCAGAATCATCACGAGACCAGGACCGCAAGACAGATGCGATACGAAGCGCGCGATGAGAGCGTTTCGGAAGCCAACACTTTTATCGTAAAGCTTCGCATATCACCAGCGAAGCTTAGGGAGTGGCAGAGAAACCCAAAGGCATTCTCCAAGACTGCATCAACGCCGATGATGGCACCTGCACAGACACCATCTCGAAGTACACCCACCGCAAACTCGATGCCTCCCCCACCCTCACCGGCCATGCCTCCTCGGTCTACCCCTGCGGCTGAAGCTTCCCCACGGCCAACTTCGACACCTACCCCGACTCCTCAAGCCCCGAAGCAGTGGCAGTACAAATACAATGGCTCTGTAGAGGCAACATGGCCGAGCCCTCCCACATCCCAGCATGTAAGTTCAACATTTTTAAATCCTGAGCATCTCTGATTGGTCACAGCCTCCACCGGCACCCTGGGTCCAGCAAGCGTTAGCAGAGTTGCAGGAGAGACATCCAGAACATTTGTTCGAGCCAACTATGCGCTACGTTGTCATGAATGAGGCCTATGTCAACCCTGAGACGAAAAAGACGGAATCCAAGGCCGTCAAACAGGACAACCTGGATGATTCGGCACCACTTCCACCAAACCACAAAGCGTATTTTCTTCCGCGCATACGGTGCTTGGACTGCCCCGGCAAGCTGTACAATGCAGGACCAGAGCAGACAGTCAGCAATTTCGAGTTGCACCTCAAGAATCGTCAACACCTCAACAACCTGGGGAAACGAAGAGGAACAAGTACTTGACCGTAGCGCACAATCGTATCAATCACCTATTCAGGCAGGCAACAACGCGTGGTTCCGTCTACCGGTAATGATCCGGGTATTTTTCCGGAGTCGTGGCAGAACTCCTTGTATAAACAGCAATCGATTAAGCACGTGGTGGCAGCGCATAGTACAACGTGCCAGTGATTTGGCGTTCTTATTTGTCGGCTAAGAATTGGAAAGCAGTAGCCATGGACCCCCTTGTTAACCGTTGTACTCTTTTTGGATTACTCACAGCTAGATAGCGGAGCTCGTTGCAATATCCAGTATTCATACCGCTACTATCTCTCTCCCACTACTTCTCATGTAAGGTTTGTACCATGTATAAAGAGGTTGGACCTTTGAGGGCAACGTAATCTTGTGCACCCATCATCTTGGGGCTCGACTCTGATCCAGGTACGCTACGCTGTGGAGCTGACCTACCTTTCGATATCATTTTAGCATCCATTGTATTTCACCAGCTCCCCAACCCCCTCAGTACCATCATAATCACGTGTTCGGCTACCCGGCAATACCTCTGGCCATTATTATCATTCCATCATGCATTTCTCCGCCGCTCACCCCTTCTTCTTCCTCGCCATTTTCATAGCGCTCGCCATGCGCGTCAACGCCACCCTCCCGATTCGCATGCTAACACACAACATCCGCTACGCAGCCTCTGTACCTTTCATTGGCGAAAAGCCATGGCCAGAACGCAAACAACTCATCCTCAACCAGCTACATTACAACACCCTTCATAATCCCGAGGCCTTCATCTGCCTGCAGGAAGTGCTTCATGAACAGTTAGTTGATATCCTCGCTGGTCTTGGCGACGAGTGGACGCACATTGGCGTTGGCCGCGACGATGGGAAAGAGAAAGGGGAGTACAGTCCGATAGTCTACCGTAAAGGTGTATGGGAGCCAACGACCTGGCAAACAGTATGGTTGAATGAAGATGGTTCGATTGGAAAGAAGGGCTGGGATGCGGGTAGTGTGCGTATCCTGACCGTTGGCACCTTCAGGCACCGTGAAAGCAAGGAAGTGATTGTGGGCATGAGCACGCATTTGGACAACTCTGGCATGATTGCGAGAAGAGAAAGTGCAAAGATTATATTGCAGACTATTGACGCTGTCACGGCGACGACGAATCTTACAAACAGTAGCTTTGGGGTTCGAGACAGACTACCCTTCTTCCTGAGCGGAGACCTCAATTCCGAGATCGATGGCGAGGCCTACCAAATTCTGAATAACAGCACAGCTAGCACTCAGGATGCAAAAGATCTGGCCAAGTGGAGGTATGGCGACACGAATACGTTTACAGATTTTGGAGACAACGAGAAGCGGTTTACGTTGATTGATTTTGTGTTTGTGGGGCCGAGGGGTGGCACGAATTGGGATGTTGAGGGGTACAGTGTACTGCCTAATAAGTTTGAGGATGGGGTGTTTTCGAGCGATCATCGGGCTGTTGTTGTGGATGGAATTTTGAGTATTGGAGGCATTGAGGGGAAATGGAATGGATGGCTCCAGAGGGGGACGGGAGTGTGAAGGATATGGGGTAGAAGGACGGAGATTGACTCCAGTAGTATGGTGTTGTAGTTTTTCTCTCACAATCAGAGGATTCATGGAAATCTGAAAGGCGGATTCAAGTGCACCATCCAACGAAGACCAAATATTGTTGTTGTAGATCACTGTCGGAGACGAAAAGAGATGCTGTCATTTGGGTCCAAGATGCTGGCTAGACCACAACTACCTATAGCAGTAGCCAATATACCTAATTACTCAAAGCAGAATACCCATCACAAGCCAGTCTCCCGGATCGGGCTTGGCTGCATTCTCATGGCAGTGAGAACAGTCGTTGTCCATAGTCAAGTCAAGTCTACGGTCGTCATTGGGCTTTAAGCGAGCTGGCGAACCCCTCAGTGGGGCACAAGGCTCAAAACAACAGCTGCTACTACCCACCACATCGACGACGCACCACGCCCAGATCAGTCTCGACGTCGGTCTCTTCTTCTTCAACTTACCTCCAAGATGGCCGAATCAGCCCCCACTGGTACGTGCAGCTTCCATGCAATGTCCATGACAGACCTCTTACTGCCATTCCCATCAGTCGGCCCTCGAATTGAGTGAGCCACCCTTCACAATGACGGCAGCTGACATGCTATGTACGACAGACTACACTCTTGCCAACCCCGATACTATCACCAAATACAAGGTTGCTGGCGAAATCTCCCAGAAAGTCCTCAAGGAGGTTTCAGGTGCGTTCGGAATCGCGCCCAGGACCCATGCGGTGCCCAATCGCACACAAATCGCAATTAACACGATACAGGATGGATTGCTGCCGACGCCAACATCGTCGAACTCTGTGAACGCGGCGATGCGCTACTTGCTGAAGAGGTCGGAAAGGTCTACAAGGGCAAGAAAGTGCTCAAGGGCATCGGACACTGTACCACCATCTCCCCCAGCTCCTACATCACGCCATACACGCCGCTCAAGTCGGACGTAGAAGAGGCCGCTACGACACTCAAGGAAGGCGAAGTTGTCAAGATCCAATTAGGTGCTCAGATTGACGGCTTCTGCACAATCGTTTGCGACAATGTCATCGTTGGTAGCTCAGGCGAGGTCACTGGGCGCGAGGCCGATTTGATTCTAGCTACACACTATGCGAACGAGCTTCTTCTGAGGCTGATGTTACCCCCTGGTTTAGTCGCACACGGCGATGAGGAGGAGCAAAAGAAGGCGTCTACCAAGAAGCCCTACACCCAGAGCCAGATTACCACCATGCTCGAGAAGGTCACCAAGGCATACGGCTGCAATCTAGTTGAGAGCACCACCATCTGGCAATTCGAGCACAACGAGATCGAGTCCAAGAAGAAGATCATCCTAGCGCCCGGTGAGGGTGTAAGGGGTGAGGGTCTTCCTGAGGTCGGCGAAGTTTGGGGTGTCGAGATGGGCGTCAGTCTAGGAAGTGGCAAGGTCAAGAGCAATGGCAACAGGACTACTCTGCACCGACGTACGGGAACCACCTACCAGCTCAAGCGCCCCTCTTCAAGGGGTCTTCTTTCCGAAGTTGTCAAGAAGTTCGGTACTTTCCCCTTCAGTCTGCGACAACTTGAGGACGAAAAGTCTGCCAAGGTTGGTGTGGTGGAGTGTGTCCGTGGTGGCGTCCTCCGCCAGTACGAGGTCGTTGTGGACAAGGACAGCCAGCCCGTAGCTAGGTTGTTCACCACTGTTGGTAAGTCCTATCACAACGATCACTTTATATTCTACATGGCACGCATGACATTTGAGCTTCATTGAGCGCATCTCTGGAATGCCAAAGTGTGCTATAAGAACCCCCCACACCCTGTTTTCAACTTCTGCATAGAGCACAACCAACTGACTATGCTACAGCGATCACTAAGAATGGCATGCAGCGCTTAGCTCAGCCTGAGCCTATCGATACTGAAAAGTACAAGTCTGACAAGAAGATTGAGGATGAGGAGATTCTGAAAATCCTTGAACAGCCTATTGGAAAGACATCGACCAAGAAGAACAAGAAGAAGAAGAAGAAGCCCGCCAAGAAGGCCGCTGCTGGCGGTGCCGCAGAAGAGGCAGAGGAAGAGAGCGGCGATGAAGAGTAAGAGCATCGCGGGCGGGTGCTGTGACAACCCAAAAGCTATCGGACGTGATTTACGACTGATCCATCCCTGAGATGTACAACAGGAGGTCACTCAGATCTAGATGTGGGCCGCCTCTTCAGTATGGAGGGATCACCAAGTAGTCGCAATAACAGTCCTAAAAAAGATCATACAAAGCTCCTACACTGCAAAATGATACTCTCGCGTTCATGCCATAGATAGCTGGAATCACTCTCCTGTAGAGCTAATCCCCTGTCTTGGTGTGCCTGCGCTGATGGCCCACTTTTCGTGGGTGGCGCGCCCAAGCGATGGTGTCGAAGTGTTGAAAAAATGACCCCATCCTGACTTGCAATCCTGACACATTGGGTCAAATCATGTGTAAGGCTCATAGCATGTCCTACTAGCAAGTATTAACAACATCACACCACCCAGCATTCACTAGGAAGATAAGTTAGAGGAAGGTTACAAGTCTGTCAAAAAAAAAAACATCAACCCCTGAATAGACATCACCTATTGTCCTGCTCATTCTCTGATTCGATTGGCCTAGAGAAACCTGCAAGCTATTGTCCTTGGTGAATAAGAAGAAGACAGGCTTGAAGCTCATGCGCCCCAGATAGCAGCAAGGTGAAGGTGAAGGTGGTTCCTCACCGGGAAAAGTGGAGGGCGGCTTATATAAAACACCCCTGGCATGATTGTACGCCAATACCATTGTAAATCGACACTTTGAACACGAGTCAACTCGTGAACGAGTAGATACTCGCATACCTGAAAGTTTGGTCAGCCGACAGGACTGTTTTTCTAGGCAGATAGACGACGAGGATTGCGTAGGGGGCTGACATAATAAGAAGAGGTGCAAGTCCGAGCGTCGCCCTCGAACAACCTTGTTCAACTTCACTTCTGGACGGCTCCACCACCAGCCACGAGCAACGGGCACGGGCTTGCGGCGCGAAGAATTCTCGGAAGATTCGTGGAAGTGAGTGTGAATACGTCTCCCCTTTCCAGCTGCATGCGCTTACTGTACAATAGCTTCGCCATGCCGGCCCTCCGCAAGTCTGCTCGGGACCGCGACCCTCGCTCGCAACACCACCGATCCAGCACCACGCCATACGCCTCACCCACCGGCACTCCAAGCGAGTCAGCCCACGAGAAGAAGCAGCGATCGATTACAGAGTGGGCTGAACCGCAACCGCAGACACTAGCCCCCTCCTTTGAAGAGCACGGATTTGCGCGGCACGGCGTGCTAGAAAACATGGCCCCCCTGGGCGTTCCTCCAAAGGCGAGGGACAAGCAGCGCGCCCGCAATCTGGACGGCGTGGCCCCTCGCAACTCCTTTTTGGCCAAGAGCAGCGCAGTTTTGGGTGATGAGGCTGCGTCGACGCCAGAGGTGACGCCCGCGCCCGAACTAGAACCTGATGATTCTGAACGCCAGGACGAGGAAGAGGTGCCAGCAGAGCTGCCCGTCTTTCAGGAAGAGGACGACGAAGATTATGAGCCCGCAAAGGCAAAGAAGAAGGCGCGCCTGTCCAAGACGCCTGTCAGGGGCAAGACTCCTGTGCAGAAGACGCCCGTCCACACCACCAAATCACCTCTCAAGAACGGCCACAGCAAATCCATGTCCGTGTCTGCAAGCCCCGCAGTGCAGGCTATTCAGGTCGTAGAACCTGCAAATGTCACCGCACAGCGCCTGCTGATTGCAGTGAACGAGGCAGTCTCTCGTGCGAACAAGGGTAATGAGCGTCGCGTCGGTCTCGCCATTATGCGCGTGTTCGAAGAAAGCAGAAGCAACACGCTTCTTGCAAGTTCAATGGACGCCATCATCAACCAGAAACCCACGGCTGAGCATTGGACCACCTTCCGCTCCTGCATCAAGCGGGCCAAGAAGATTGAAAAAATGAAAGCTAGGATGCAACAGCACGATCGCTCTGATGGGCGAGCAGCCGACGCTCGTGGTGAAGCGCGCTCCAGCCACCGGCTCTCACCTAGGGCCAGCAGCGAAATTGTTCCTGACGATTCCGTCTCCGCCGTTCACGATTTGCAGTACCAGCAATCGTCTTCCACTATGGCGCCTAAACTGGGCTCAACAAGTGATTCGCATAGGGCGTTACAATCTGCTATTGATCAAACCTCCTCACTTGATCCACTCCACCCTTTTAGCACAGCTCCCACGTTGCCGGCTGCAGACTCCTCCGCAGAGTCAACTCTGAGGATGCCTTCAAAGTCGCCGCGAAAGCGACCATCTAAAAACGAGGCCCTTGCGCAGGACACGACTATTGACGTTGATGGTGGGCTGTCTACTGCAGCACCAACACCTCTGGCTAGGACACCAGATACTGGTGGTAGCGATTCTGAGCTATCGGATGTGAACGAAGAAATCGTCCAAAAAGGCCCACCAGAACTGCCTCAACCAAATAGCAAGAGCGCTACTCCTGTTGCTGCAGGCGTCTCGAAGAAGGGCAAGAATCCCGCGAATGCTCGTGCTGCGAAGAAATTAAAGGGCAGTGTGGGCAAGGCCTTCGGCAAGCCCACGAGCAAACAACAGCCACCCACTGCCGAACAGATCGCAGAGGACGAAAGGATTTGGGCATTGCGCAAAGAGTTGGTCGACCAGCAACCAATTCGTAAACTCGATGGAATTCCGCCTCCTCTGTCTGACGTCCGATTTGACGACGAGATCCTCGAGACTGAGTCCTTAACTGAGTCGCAAATCGCAGTAGGCCCGCCTGTCCACTTTGATCAACCGCGAAGTGCTGGACGCGTCCCTCAACACGGTACTAAGCGACTGCGAGAGGACACATCGCGAGTATCATCGCCTCAGCTCGAGTCGGCGGCAGCAACACGACCCTCAACACCAGCTGTTGGACCAGCAAGTAAACGACTGAAGCTCACCAACGGTCAAGCTGCTAAAACCAAGCGATCGTAAGTCCCCTGTGAATCCCTTTCTCTTTTCGCCATTTCTTGTCGCATTTCTACTTTGACGCATGTACCCGCTTGAGGACACTGCTTCAGTGTCGACTCAGCACGCTTGACGTGTCAATGTGTTTTCACCTATTTGCATCACACGAACCCACATATCTCATCAAATCATCAGCAAGGCTAACTATTACCTGCACAGGCCGGTCAAAAATCGTGAACAAGGTCCTGTTGCTGGTGTACCATTTACCAGTGGTGGCGGTTCGAGACAGCTGGGGCCTGATGACAATGACCCAGTAAGTGCCACTCTTTTTCCCGATGCATCCAACCACACCATTCCTCTTCCACCACACAACCCATCAACAACATTCACTTCTTTTCATCACCCAGCACAAATGCTGCTCGCCACAAACATTCCTCCGCCCAAATTTCCATATTCTCCACCGCTTTCTGTTGTCTCTTCACCTCTAACAGAATGCCAGAACTCGCCACAGTCAGAAAGCGATGACTTTTGCGCTGCATGTAGGGGTGCAGGCGAGTTTGTCTGTTGCGAGAACTGTCCACGTGTGTTTCATCTCCTTTGCTGCGATCCGCCGCGTACCCAGGTTCCTGATGGCGCCTTTTATTGCTATGAGTGCAATGCGAAGTTGCCTGTTTCCGAAGAGTCCGCCGCAGAGACCTATCCCAGCCTTGGGCCACTCTTCAAATCACTGGACCGCATCAACCCCCGCGCATTTGCTTTGCCCTCAGAAATACAGACCTATTTCGAAGGTATCTCTGCACGACCAGATGGCTCGTATTTCGAGGACGTCAAGAAGTTTGCACTGTAAGTGGCGTGACGCGTCCCGTCGCGTTGTACAGAACTAACAGGACAACAGATCCAAAAACAGTGGCTACGGTTATCAACGACCTGACTACACTAAAGTGATTGACAATGATCACAAGGTCGTATTGTGCACGCACTGTGGTGTTTCCAGTGAGCACAAGCGCCAGATGCTCAAGTGCGACTTTTGTAGCGCGTACTGGCACTTGGATTGTGTTGACCCGCCGCTCGCTAACCCGCCACACATCAGCCTGGAGGCATCTCAGCGCGACGCGTGGAGGTGTCCACGCCATATTGAGAATGATTTCCGCAGCGGACTGCTTTTGCAAAAAGACCTGAATGAGCAGGGTCACGATGTCGAAATGGATGACGCGCCGCCGGCTCGCGTCCCACGTAAACTTCGGATGCGCAAGGATCCTCAGATTATTGAGCCTACGTTTTCGCGTGGTATCCAAAACAACGGTCTGATCGATATCATTAACGATCCTGATGACGACACTGATGGAGAGGGCAACTACGTGTTTGGCACTGATGACGCGAAAGATCTCAATTCAAAGGTGTTCCGTATACCCGAAAAAGGCCTCATCCTGGACTTCATCAGCAAGGTGAAGAGGTATGCATCAGCCCTCATTCTTTAATCATTACAGTCACTAATTCGTCACGCAGTGGTCGCATTGCTAAGAAGAAGCATCACGCGCAGAAAGTTTCAGAGACTGCTGAAGCTCAGCGCAAGCAGTCCATGAACAGCTTTCTCGCTCGCCCAATCGAGCAACAACAAGCAGCACTTCACCTGACCCAGCTGGCGAAGAAAGATTCGCACGACTTGAGCGAGGGCAAAGTTTCTGCACTCCTACTCAGTCTTACTGTAAGACTCCTCCCTCCCTTTGCCCCACTTGCGTTGTTTTGTTCAATCGGCGCTAATACGTGTGAAACAGTCCGAAGCTCCCCCGGATGTCATTACTGCCCTATCCAACGCTGATCCTCCACCCCCGTCTGATGAAGAGCGTGCACAGCTTTTACAGCTGCAGCAGTTGATCCAGCGTCGCCTGGGAGCCTGAATGATGTTGGTGTTCGCATCACTCGATAAGGTCCGAACGTAATCTCCAGCTACTAGTGTTGCTGGTGACGCCACGATGCACTTGGAGTCTTGGAACGCGATCTGGCCCATTCACCAATAACACGGCATGCATGGCCAATACGCTGTCTCCCCGAACTCTTCCCCGACTGCGACCAACGGATTATATTCCTGAGTTTGGATTTAATTTTTTCGGAATCAGAAAGCCCCGCGCCAATGATTTGATAGTCCACCCATGCGAACAGTGCCCCGATGCCCGACGGTCTCCCCCCTTCTTCCGCCCGCGAACATGCGCCCCATCTCACTTCATACAAAATACAGTTCCGTCCTTTGTCTCTGGTATAGAAAGGAGCCCTTCAGCACACACCCCGTGGAGGACATTTGTACGACGCGCGCACTTTTTTGCGCTCGCCATGTCTAATTACGTCGGTTGCATCTTGCACCAGAGTCCCCCCCCCCCCCCCCATTCGCTGCTACACGAATCTGCATAGCGAGGAGTTTAACAGTTTTATGGCATTCTTTGTAATCATTTCTGTAATGCTTGGGTTGCCCTTCTTTACCCCTGGTCTTTTCTTGAGAGCTCTTTTGATGGAAGAGAGACATACAAGGAGGGAGAGGGAGAGCGAAAGAGCTTTTCTTACCTGAATGGACGTAGCAACTTACCGCTGGGTAACACGTCTATTTGTGTTTGTGCTCATGTTTTTGCCTTTTTGCTTTTTCCGCTTTTGTTTGCTAGCAACGAGGTGTGATTCATCTTTCCCCATTCCCTCCACCACACCTCTTCGAGAGGCTCTTTGCGAGGGAGAAATGGAATTCGACTTGTACAGCGAATGGGCAGCCGGGGAATATTGGCGGGCTTTTTTATCCTATTTTTTTGAGCTTACTTTCAAACCTCCCCGGGTGGTTCCGGTTGGAATATACGAGGCCAGAACTGTTGAATTTGGGGGTGGTTCCTTGGTCTCTGTCGCATAGGCAAAATGTAGTTTTAGGCCGGATGGTCGGATGGCGATATGGCGCGATAACGAGGGGCAAGTATGCTTATCAGAATGAATGGGCAGATGTTTGGATTCAGTTGAATTTGCTTGCTTGCTTGTGTACCGCCTGTGCCGCCTGTACAAACGTAACAGCTACCCCATCCAGCCCCTCCGTCTTGGGAATATTCGCAGTCTTGAGTCGTTTGACATGCACTCGTCGATAGCGCAGCTGCGTACTTTATCTACACAGTATAGCTGGAAAACCGCCACGTTACGGTACACAGAACGAACCAAACCAAACCAAACCAAACCAGAACAAAACTTACAATATCTATGCCAAAGTATACATACCATACCCGACTTCAAATATCATACACCCCCGGAACTTATGCCAGCAGTGCAACCGCACATGCCCGCGTAGCTGTTCTGGCGGTCAGACCTTGTCCCAAGTGTGACGTGTAGGATGCAGGGGAGAGAGTAGCGGTAAGGATGGGTACAGGGTCGGGGAGTGCGGATCGGATCTGGGGGCTAGAGTGAGTGATTAGGTGAGCACTGGGTATGGGTGGGGGAGACGTGTGTATACGGTAGGGAGAAGGAGGGTTAGTTTGGAGAAGGCGGGTGTGGAATGGTGTGATTGGATTGATTCACTTGTACTGGGTAGTTGCGGGGTGGGATAAGACGACGGTTATTCCCATCTTACCAATCACTAAATTCGAGACCGTGCTGGTGATGATATTTGAGACCAGGCTAGATGAGTTGAACATGTCAGTCACGTTGTGCAGAGCAGGAAGGGAGTTTGTGATTTCAAAGTTTTCTTCATTGGGTCTGTCAACATGGGGGTTATTCCATCTACCACGAGCAAAAAGAAGAGCACGAGGAAAACCGCCGAGCGAGGCCGATGTGAGAAATTACAAGACTGTATGAACAGCGAGAGATATGGCTTTGGTCTCTCTCTCGCTTGATCAAGGCTTGCAGCGCCCAAAGTAGCGGGGGTACAGACAGCAGTCACGAACGGTATGTTGTTTGCAGAGCCAGGCGAGGAAGCGCTCAAGACCTAGCCCGTAGCCTCCGTGGGGAGAGGAGCCGTATCTGGGATATGTGTTAGTATGATATGGGGTAAGTGAAATGTGTACAAGAGAAAAAGGAAGGGAGGGAGACGACTTACTTCCTCTGATCAGTGTACCAGTAGTAAGCCGCGGGGTCGATTTGCTCCCTTGCAAACGCCGCCATCAACTCATCGTAATTGTCCATTCTCATACTTCCTCCTACAATCTCGCCGACACCGGGCATCAAGCAATCCACACTCTCGGTGACGCGCGCGTCGTCCTTGTCCTTGAGCATGTAGAATGCCTTGATGGCGGTGGGGAAGTGAGTAAGGAATATGGGGCGGTTGATAATGTCCGTCATTCTGCGCTCTGCCGCTTCCGCAATATCGTCGCCGAATTTGTGGGGCTCGCCGTCTTCGTTGGGGATGTTGTGTTCGACGAGCCAGTCGATGGCGTCTTGGTACTTCATCCGCTTGAACGGGCGTTCTGGCATGCGGAACTCTGGGTTCAGGTCCATAATGTGCTGTTTGATGACGGGATCTGACATTGTGACTTCGAGGACCCGACACATGACTTCTTCCAGGTGGGTCAGCAGGTCGTCGAAGTTGATGTAATCAAGCTCGGCTTCAATGTGCGTGTATTCAGCAAGATGGCGACGGGTCAAGGACTTTTCGGCGCGGAAAGACTTCTCGATACAGTAGACGTCACCCATGGAAGGGAGACAGGTCTCGAGGTACAGTTGGGATGACTGTGTAAGGTATGCCTCCTCGTTGTAGTAGCCGAATTTGAACAGCGTGGCACCACCTTCAACTTGGGTCTGCACCAACGCTGGAGGGCTGACCTTGCGCAGGCGCAACTCCTTGTAGACTTGGTTGAAGGCGTACTCGACGACGTCACGGACAATCATGACCTTTGAAGCAGTCTCTCCACGTAGAGTGAGGTGTCGCAGATCCAGGAGTGTCGCGTGCTCAGTGTCCTTGGAGACCCTGTTGGTAATGGCGTCGTCACCACCTGCTGCCTTCCATCCGGGGTGAATTTTGTAGAAGTCGGCGTGCAGTTCGCGGTCGTTGGGTGCATGCGCACCAGCTGGTATCTGTCTCAGCTCTCCCAAGATTTCCATGCTCGACTCTCGGGTCAACGTGAGCGCATCGTAGGTCTTTGCAAGGTTGCCTGTGAGAATGACTTGCATGTAGCCATATCCATCTCTTAATGTGACAAACATGACGTCTTTCTGTCTTCGCTCACGGTGGACTCTACCAAATACCCTCACGCGGGTACCCTTGACATCCTTGCCGTCGCCCAGGGTGATCTTCTTCGGGTCGGTGTCGTCAAGCTTGATCTTGACTGCCTGTGGCAGGCTTTTGTCCTCTTCTAGCACAATCTTCCTGGCCTCGTCGAGAACCTTGTTACGAGCAGCATCCTCCTTACTACGAAGTGCCAACAGTTCCTGCTCTTTCTCGGCCTTCTTCTTCTGCGTCTTCGCAAAATTGACAGCCTTCTTCAGCGCTGATTTCGCAGCATCCTTCCATTCCAATCGCGATGATGCATCTGCACCTTCCGCAACTTCACCAGTAACGCTCTTGCGCGTCTTGTATGTTGCACTCTCGCCGCGTATGTATAAAGCGTATCCCAGCGACTTGTACGGTGCGTTTTCGTCACCAGTCTGCTCTGGTGTATCCTGACCGACGTCTTCGTCGACGTAGTAGGTAGCGTCCGCCATGGCGATTGCAATTCGTGTGGTGGATCGAGTGGAGTGTGACTGTCACTTGTTACGTTGTTGTCGCCCCGAAATTAACTTTAGTTATTGAGGGGCATTTGGAGGGGTCTGACTCAAAGTATCCGTGCGCTGTGAAGCACTCCAGGTATTTATCGATAAGACGAGATTCAACATCACCGCCATGGCACAATTGAGCCACACGGGTAGAATTGTGCGTCAAAGTGTAAGTCGCTTATCATGGAGCGCCTAATTTGTATAACATGGGCTTTGTCGGCTTTTCTCATTCATATCAGTCATGGTCAGGAATAGGGCTCATCGGACGAGATGAACGACTAGGTACCGGTACCCTACCTCCAATGGGTGGTGACCTCCGCCATCCTCAATCTTGACTTGCGGATGATATCATGCGACACTACGAGCTGATTGATACTACCGTTGGCCATCAATTAGCTCTTACCTGTTCCTCACAAACGGACTTTCAGGAGGACTAATTCCGCGCTGACTAACGAAGTCGGCGTTCCAGTCCGACATCGTACGAAACTGTTGCAACAGTACACTTTACTGTCCCAGACTTCTTTGATATGCTATCAGCCTTTTAAGTTCTTGAAATCTCGACATTCCAAATATGGCTGACCCAAGTCTCTACACATACCCCTCGCCCCTAGAGGGTTACGAAGGCCTTGAGCCTTTGCCAAAGTCAGCATTCACCCTACTATTTCATATGGACCCACAAGCTGTTTGGAGGGCGAATAGTCCTTGACATCAAAAACCTTACTGATAGACACCCAGGGAGAAAGCCGAAGACGGTAAGAGTTTCGTCAATCCGCCGGCTGAGAAGAAGAGCGAAGCCTATACTTCTTTCACAGCTCCTATTACGAATAGCATCAGGGGAGGTTTCGAGTAAGCTGATCGATTGTCGTACCGTACTGGTTCTTACAGACTTCAAGCATACACATCTACTTCATCCAAGAAGACAAGGAGCAAGCCAAGTTCGCGAACGAGCTGTGGGAGCGTATACGGCGAGAGTGTAAGACTCTTGAATTTGCCCAGAGACTTATTGTACCTATGACTGACATCACAGTCCCCGAGTTACGTATTTACAAAATCTGGGACCATGCTCAGGGTCCGCATCCACTGCCAATGTTTGAGGTCAATCTCTTTACGCCAGGTAAACCACGACACACGACTTTTGACAGCAATTATTGACATTTAGTAGAACAGTTTGGTGCCTTCATTCCCTGGCTGGTCATCAACAGAGGACCACTATCAGCACTCATCCATCCCAATACTGGAGATGACGAGAGAGATCATACGCAGAGGGCCACGTGGATGGGGAACCCGCTTCCACTGAATTTGAAGAGGTTTAAGAAGCAGAAGGCTCAAGTTTGATTGGCTGGCAAAGTATAAATGTAGATGAAGTCATGGATATGTGAGGGCGCAGTGATTTTGTCTGGAATACAATCGGATAATTCCCTTCTCCTGAGATAGATCTAGATGTTTGCGCTTTGGTCTCGTGGCTGTTTATGTTTTAGCCGTCAATGCTGCTCTTGGACTCTTGATATAAGGTTGTGTCTCCAAGCAATTTGCCGTGACCGTTCCCTCCGTGCCTCAGAAAGGCATCGCATGTAACTTGTTCTAGTTGAAAGTATTCGACAACACTCAGGCCTTGGTTTCGCCAACCGCAACCTTCTTCTTCTTTTTGACCTTCTTCGCCTTCTTCTTGTCTCGCTTCTTTAGTCCTGACATGCCTATTTTACATGCCTCCGCATACCGCGCGTAGAACGAGTCTAGATCATCTGGTTTCACTACTGTGCTCAACTTGATCTTCTCGATGTCTTTTCGGTCTGTTCCCTTCTTCCTGTCGCTCCCATTGTTGGAGGCACGGATGAGAATGGGCAGCGGCTGCTCGGGGTGTGTGTCCCAGAGAGGGTCGTCAGCGACTTTTGCGGGTGAGGGCGGTGAGGAGGATGTGTCGAAGGTTAGGCGCTTTTGTGTGAGGTAAACGCTGCCATGGCCCTTTGTGCGTGTGTATTCGAATAGGTGGGCGAGTCGTGAGAAGAACTGCACATGGAATCAGTATATGATACGAATGAATAAAATGATTAGGCAATAGTTTACCTCCTCATTACTCAAATGATCTCGAGTCATTGTGGGTAAAGGTATTGTGCGCTGTTACCTGTGCGCCATGGGTTTCTGAAGAAGTGTAGTAGGCCGGTGGCATGGAGGCGTGGGCGCAGTTCGTCAGTGCGGAGGAGGGGCGGGGGTTCGCATCGAATCCCCGACTTCCTGTCTAACTTCAACTTTTTTCTAGGCCGAGACTCCAATCACGAAATATGCGCCAAGTGTACGGCGGTCCCAAGCTGCCAGTTGAACTGCGCAACCAGTTCGGTAAGGACGTCTGCAAATATACATGATACTGTATTAATATCGTTATAGACCCTTCATACGGTAGCAGGAAATCTGGGCGCAACGGCCCTGCAACGCGCAAAGACAAGCGTAAGGCAGATCGCGTTAAGAAAAAGCGGCAGAACAAGCAGGTACGAAGGCCAGCACCTGTTAGACCCGAAAATGGTAGAGGTCCAGCGAAAAGACATGGGCAAGGCGACGAGGATGACGGCGAGGACGAGGACGAGGCGATCGACTGGGATAATGTAACAGAAGACGGGACGCCACCACCTGCACCTGCGAAAGAGTCCCTCAAGAAACCCAAAAGTATCTTGAGGAAGTCATCGTCTCAAGAAGAGGACTCGGAAAAGCCTCCGAGCGTACCGCGCGCAATTAAAGAAAAGCTCAATCAAGACGACGCTGAGATCGCCGCCCTAGAAAAGAGATTGGGTGTAAAGGGCAAGAAAAAATCCAAGGGTGTGGAACATGATGGATTGGATGACATATTTGGCGATCTTGGAGACTTTGGCAGCGAGGACGAGGGCCTAGGCCAGCAACCTTTGAAGAGGAAAAGGAACGAGGACGACAACTGGCTTGCAAGCAAACGACAAAAAGCACTAGGTGCGGCGCCAAAAGATGATACAGATGACGACAAAGATTCAGAAGCAGAAGAAAGCCTAGATGGGGAGGATTATTCTGATCTGGACGATCTTGGAGGCTCTGACATGGAAGGCTTTGACTCCGAAGAGGATGAAGAGAATGGAGAAAGCGAGGACGAAGAGCCGATCCAATCGCGCGTACGAGAGAATCCATACGTCGCACCCATCGCACCTGGGGCTTCACCGGCGGCCAAATATGTGCCGCCCGCGTTACGGGCGCCACCGTCCTCCGATGCTGAAACTTTATCCCGACTTAGGAGACAAATACAAGGTCTCTTCAATCGACTGTCCGAGGCAAACATTCTCACTATTCTTAAAGATATCGAAGGTATCTACCAGAACAACCCTCGAGGCTACGTCAACACGACCCTGATTGACTTACTCACTGGGATGCTGTCGGACCCTTCAGCATTATTAGACACTTTCTTAAATCTGCATGCAGGATTCATAGCAGCCATCTACAAGGTGATTGGGCCTGACTTCGGGGCGCAGATGATAGAACGCATTGTTTCTGAATTTGACACACACTATCAGCACAATAAAGAGGGAACTGGACAGCAAACGAAGAATCTCATCTCAGTTGTGGCAGAGCTTTATACATTCCAGGTGATCGGAAGCAACATAGTCTTTGACTATATCCGATTCTTCCTAGATGAGCTTACGGAGATCAATACAGAACTGCTTTTGAGGGTGGTGCGAGCAGCCGGACCACAATTACGCCAGGATGACCCCACGGCTTTAAAGGACATTGTAGTGTTGCTACAGAAGTCTTTAGCTAAGGTCGGACAAGCTAACCTCCCTGTACGAACCAAGTTTATGATTGAGACTATCAACGACCTCAAGAACAACAAGATGAAGACAGGAATCGCAGCCAGTCACATGTCCAGAGAGCATACGACACGAATGAAGAAGCAATTAGGCACGTTGAATTCTCGGAACCTCAAGGCCACAGAGCCACTCCGTGTAGGACTGAAGGACATCAAAGATACAGACAAGAAGGGGAAATGGTGGTTAGTTGGCGCAAGTTGGCGCAACGAGCCTGGCACCGAAGACCCTATTCAAGAGACGAAAACGATCCCTCGGCATACACAGACGCTCGAAAACGAGGACGACGATAGCGAAATTGATCTAGTCCAACTCGCCCGAGAACAGCAGATGAACACGGACATCAGGCGGGCCATTTACATCTCCATCATGTCTGCCAGCGATTTCAAAGATGCCCAAATCCGTCTCAGCAAACTTAATCTGAAGAGATCGCAGGAAGTGGAGATTCCTCGAGTCATAGTTCATTGTGCAGGTGCGGAGGAGACGTACAATCCATACTATACAGTTCTTGCTCGCAAGGTTTGCTCTGATCACAAGTCACGAAAGAGCTTCCAATTTGCATTGTGGGACATCTTCAAGAGCCTAGGCGAAAAGCAAGATGGAGCAGATGACTCTGATGATGACCAGGACGATACGAAAAACGAAACAAATCTACGGAAGATTGTTAGTCAAGGAAAACTCTATGGTACGCTCATCGGCCGAAAAGCGCTACCCATCACGAGTCTCAAGAACCTCAACTTTCCTTATATGCAGCCTAAGACTAAGACTTTTGTCGAAGTCATTCTTGTTACGACAATTCTAGAGTCTCTGAAGGGCTCTAAGGACAAGCGAAACGAAAGGGCAGTTCGTGAAATCTTTGTTGAGGTCGATCATGCTCCTGAGATGATAGCTGGATTACAGTTCTTTCTCAAAAAGACAGTGCGCAAGACGGATATCGTCGAGAAGGCTGATAAGGAGACGGTTCGGTGGGCGTGCAAGTCCATCATGGACATGTTGACTCGCGTTCTTGCTACGACAACGATGCGAGAGGAATAAGATGTTAGCGTATATGTCTGTATTGCAGGGTGGTGATGATTCAGGAGACTTGGAGTGTACTTTGTATAAGTGAAGTGGAGTAGATCGTCATATAGTAGGGCTGTGCGATGAGACCATAGCGTCAGAAGAGAGCAGTAGTAATCTGACTCATCTCGTTTCGCCTCTGCGCTGTAGGTGATGATGAAGCTACGGAAATCTGAGGGACAATTGTAAGCTTGGCGCCACTGACCCTACGAAAGCCGCATAGACCAAGGTGGTTCCCGGCCGAGCGAGTTCCGCAAAAAGCTCAACACCAGCTCCCGAAACGAGGCACCATCCATTGCCGCCTGCCATCTCCGCCATATATCCCACGGCTTTTCTTGGTCCCCCGCCTCTCTCCTGTCGCAATTCATCATGTTCCGGTCCCTGGCACCCCGCGCCCTCCAGAGGGCGACGCGCCCCGTCACCCAGAAGTCTTTCTGTGCATCGAATCTATATTTCCAGAACCGCCTGCAACGAGGTTATGCTTCAGAAGCTGGTTAGTCGCATTGGTACACATGATCCAAGACGAGTTTTGCGCTGACTCAAGGACAGCAGAAAAGGATCTGGTCATCATTGGAGGTGGTGTCGCGGGCTATGTGGCGGCCATCAAGGCTGGGCAAGCTGGCTTGTCGGTATGCTGAATTACGATACATGGAAAATACCAGGGCGTACACTAATCGTGCATCACAGGTCGCATGTATTGAGAAGCGTGGCTCGCTCGGTGGAACTTGCCTCAACGTTGGCTGCATTCCCTCAAAGTCCCTCCTCAACAACTCCCATCTTTACCACCAGATTCTCCATGACACAAAGGGCCGCGGTATCGAGGTCGGCGATGTCAAGCTCAACCTCCCCGCCATGATGAAGGCAAAGGACACCTCCGTCGCCGGCCTGACCAAGGGCATCGAATTCCTTTTCAAGAAGAACAACGTCGAATACATCAAGGGAACTGGTGCTTTTCAAGATGAGCACACTATTGCTGTCAACCTGGTTGAAGGTGGCGAGACCAGTGTTCGCGGAAAGAACATCCTAATTGCTACTGGCTCTGAGGCCACACCCTTCCCCGGCCTGACCATTGACGAGCAAAAGGTTATTACTAGCACTGGTGCTATCAACCTGCAAGAGGTGCCTGCAAAGATGACCGTCATTGGTGGTGGTATCATTGGTCTTGAAATGGTATATTGATTCTGATGCCAGTTGTTGACTGTGCTAACATATAATAGGCCTCCGTCTGGTCGCGTCTCGGCTCTGAGGTCACCGTTGTCGAGTTCTTGGGTCAGATTGGTGGCCCCGGCATGGACAACGAGATTGCGAAGCAGAGCCAAAAGATCCTCCAAAAGCAGGGTCTGAAGTTCAAGCTCAACACCAAGGTCACCGCTGGTGAGGTGCACGATGCTGGCGTAAAGGTCAGCGTCGAGGCCGCAAAAGGTGGCAAGGAGGAGACTGTAAGTCGAACATGAAAACAGGCAGGGTACAGCGACTAATAGATACAGCTGGACGCTGATGTCGTTCTCGTTGCTATCGGCCGTCGCCCATACACTGCCGGTCTTGGTCTTGACAACATCAGCCTCGAGACTGATGAGAGGGGCCGTCTGATTATCGACCAGGAATACCGCACCAAGATCCCCCACATTCGCTCCATTGGTGACTGCACATTCGGACCCATGCTTGCCCACAAGGCTGAGGAGGAAGCTGTTGCAGCCATTGAGTACATCACTAAGGGACACGGCCACGTCAACTACGGTGCCATTCCTTCCGTCATGTACACCCACCCAGAAGTCGCTTGGGTTGGCCAGAACGAGCAGGAGCTCAAAGCAGCCGGCATCAAGTACAAGACTGGAAACTTCCCCTTCTCCGCCAACTCGAGAGCCAAGACCAACCTCGATACCGATGGCTTCGTCAAGTTCCTCTCAGATGCTCAGACCGACCGGATATTGGGTATTCACATCATTGGAGCCAATGCTGGTGAAATGATCGCTGAGGGTACTCTTGCATTGGAGTACGGTGCCAGTTCAGAGGGTGAGTCAAACTACATACAAAAATCTCTCCCTTAGAAAGCTAATCCTGCCACAGATGTCGCACGCACATGCCATGCTCATCCTACGCTCGCCGAGGCGTTCAAGGAGGCTGCCATGGCCACCTACGACAAGGCTGTTCACTACTAGATTCCCCGGATGACTTTGGTTTGGTTTCCCTCTTTTTGCATCAGCGACATGACTTCGAGCCCTCGAGCTAGCGGGGAGTTGTGAATACTATACTGTAAAATATATTCATGTCTGATGTCTGTTCATTGCATGCTTCCAAACCCATGATTGATTAGTAGGTCCGTGCACTGGAGTGAAATGGCGCTGTCCAGATGGGTAGGGCTGAAAGACCCCTGCTAGTGCAAGTCCCGTCGCGCGGTGCGCGGTGCACGCGCAACGCGTACCCGCGCGACTTTGAGTCTTGATATGTCCAATTCGGTCATACTCTGCCTCCGAATCACTCGATCACGCAACCCAACCACTTTTGCTCTTTCCAGATTCAACCATGAGTGTCACTGAAGTTGAACGCCGGTGCAATGAGCTTCGGCAGGATCTGAAGACGTGGGAGAAGCAATTCACTGCACAAAATGGAGGACGGAAAGCAGGGCGCGAGGACATCAAGGCGAATGCGGAGATATGTACGCACCAGATACAATAAATTCCCTTGGCAAGATTGAAGACTGATATTGCCACAGCCCAAAAGTATAAAGAATACAATAAATTACGAAGCCGTCTATCTGGAAAACCGGAGCCGTCAACACCCTCAAAACGAGCCTCACGACCCAAGTCCCGCAATGACATCGAACGTACACCAAAAGCCCCACCGAAACAACCTACATTTACGCCTATGAAGAGGAAAAGGGAGAGGGATGACGAGGATACAGTAGAGAATATAGATCCTGATACCGAAAACGTCATCCCGTCCCCAGAAGGTCCTGCGTTCATTGGTCCCACACCTCAACGGAACGGCATAGTACTGGGCTTGTTTGATCTCCTCCCAGAGGGAACGCCAAGTAAGAAAAAGACAGTGCTGGGCAGCGCAGAACCAAACATACCTCAGACACCAAGCAAGGCCAGCGAGGCTTCGATAGAACCACGAGCGCGTGGGGAGCGGACACCACTTTCAGCGGGCAAGCGATTCCTTCTGAGTCAGTTTGTGACGCCGAAGAAGAGAAAACTGGATGATCAAGGGACACCATCTACAATCCGTGGGCTTGCAACACCTGCATTCCTCCGCCGAGATAACATGCTAAGCGCAATTGAGGAAGATGACGAGCCTGTACCCCGTCCCCTGCCCTGGAAACGGCGCGGTATGGGACGAAGTTTGAGTTCTATGATCCAGGCTATGAAGAAGGACGAGGAGGATCGATTGGACGACGAAGCAGACATTATGCGGGAGATGGAGATGGAGGAGCAAGGCATCTCAGAGCCTAAGATACCGAAAGTACCGCACATCCAGATTGAAGACAGTCAAACAGATATGCCATTGGGTCCTGATCGTGGCCTGGAATCCGAAGAAGACAGTGACGGAGAGCCAGAACTCGGTCGTGACGGCAAGCCGAGAAAGGCATGGAAGAAGAAGGGTCTCAAGAGGCAGACAAGGCGTGTTATCAGTAGGTTTTGTTCATGGGTACCAGCCATAACTGCCAGACTAATCTTGCACCAGTGCGACCCAATGTTGCGAAGCCAAAGGCCGAGCCTGTATTGCAACAAGAAGAATCTGGAGACGAAGAGGCAGCAGTGCTCGAGACACAGGTACAAGCAAATGGGGCCACAGAGGATATGGAATCTGAGGATGAGGGCTCCGTCTACGCGAGTGATGCTTCGCATACACCAAAGAAACGCAAGACACAAGCCAAGAAAGTTGAGGATCACACGGAGAAGCCAAAGGAAGGCATAGTGAAGAAAGCAGCGCGAAAGATCAAGGCAACAGCCAACGCAAACTACCGACGACTCAATATCAAAGGCAAAGCAGCGACGAACGGTGCAAAGAGTAAGTTTACTCGACGGCGATAGGCTGGAATGGTTGATAGTGCGCCTTGGACAAGGAATGTACCACGTTGGGATGATTACCGGTCAAGGCTGTCCGGGGCTCTGATAAGCTACTTTGAATCCATTCAACATTTTCCCTGGCACGACACTCGGTGTTGATCTGCGTTGAAGAGTAAATAGATGTACACAGTAAGCAACAAGGTGCCACGGGCTGTTGGCGGCAAGCATGGCACCCAATCGGGCCAGAAAGGTAGCAGGGGGAGTAGTTCCCGAACACGGCATACCCGCGCGATTACAATGAAAGAGTGTCTTCGTCTGGATGCACTGTAGGCGGTCGCCAAGTGGCTTTTCGTAGGTGAGACTGTCTGACCGCATCATCGGTCATCTGGACCTGAGGTGCCTGCTATGCAAAAATGTGCACGAGCGGGCTCTGCTGTGTGGGAAGAAAATATAAGATGGTCCCCTGTCTTGACTTGAATGTCTCTACCTGTTAGCTCTTTTTGTTCAAACTATCATAGCATGGCATATATTCGCAATAGGACGTTTGAAGGCTATGAGATATCATGGCGGGCGGCCATCTCACCTCCACTAGCGCGGCCAGCACCTCCGACGCCGAAAGCTGCGCCTAAGCTTGCCCTCGCCGCAACAAACACCAACATCAAGACCAAGACCAACAACATCACATCGACATCGACATCGACAGGCCCACCTGCACACTCACCCCACGCATCTGTTGCCTCGACATCTACATCTGCATTGACAGCATCCGCACACGCATTCATCATGGCCGAAAAGGAACTCCAGACGGCGCTCCAACAGCTCCGACAGACACTCCAATCACACAACTACCAACAGTCGACCACGCTCCTGTCCAAAGCCAAAATTGCCCTCCTCAACCTCAACGCCCTCATCCCACAAGAAAAGTCGCCACGCAAACACCTCCAAGCCGCACGTGAGACGCTTGAGCTCGGCGCCATCATCTCCATTCGCCTCAAAGATACGGTTTCCTTCACCCGCTACTTCCAGCAACTGCAGCCTTTCTACTCGCTGCCGGAATCGACATTACCCCGTGATGGTAGCAATGCAAGCAAGGTCACGGGATTGTACTTGCTCCTCCTATTGAGTGAGGGAGACTATGCGGGGTTCCACACGCTGCTAGAGACGCTCGAGGTGGCGGCTGCGCAGGCGGGCAGCAAGTTGGAGGACGATACATTCATCCAGTATCCCATCCGGTTGGAGCAGGCGCTTATGGAGGGGAGTTATGATAGGGTGTGGGGTGAGACCAAGAAGGAGAGGGTGCCTAGTGAAGAGTTTGGGCTGTTTACTGAGGTACGTCATGCGCTCTAATCTAGTCCCTGCTCGTCGAATATTCGCACAAGGCCAGTGATTTATGATGAGAACTACAGCTGACATACCGTTTTTTCTTGTAGATCCTTATCGGCACCATCCGCAAGGAAATCGCTTCCTGCAGCGAGCGCGCATACCCCTCCATCCCCATCTCAGATGCCAAGTCTCTCCTCTTCCTTGAATCAGAAGGCAGCGTTGTCAACTTTGCAAAGGAGTTTGGTTGGGTTGTCAAAGATGGACGGATATACTTCCCTCAGCAGGAAGAGGACTATCTTAGCAAGGACATCTTGGTCACCAGTGACCAGGTCATCGAGAACACCTTGGGATATGCGAGGGAGCTGGAGACGATTGTCTGAGACATTGGCATATCAAGGGCAGGATTGAGATGCAATATGCCTTTCCGGAAGATGAAGACTGCCGTGTTATACAATCGAGTCGAGCCATAGATCCGACGTCAATTTAAACCTTGCGGCCGGAAACAATGTAGATCATTATGCACTATACTACCTAGACCAATGACTTAAGCAAGCAAGGATACAGGAAGTAATTATTATTCTTATATCAAGTCCTATCAACTGACCTGAATCCATACACTCAACACTACTTGTCGCTGTTGGGTAGTGATGAAACAGGTATCTTCCTACATCTGCTATGACAATATCGAGGACATGCAGGCCCCGTTCTGCCCACGTGGCTATTTGGTTCCTATATACGATCATGAAGGCATATACACTAATGCCACCAAGCCAACGACAATCCCATCCCCTGGAATCCATTCAAAAATTATAGCAATCATAGTATATGCATTCTAACACAAATACAATCTATTCCCACGCTCCTAGCCCTCCTAAACAATAAGATACAAACTAGTAATCACACTGGGCCCAATAAACAGGCCAAACCAAAAAATCACATTGCCCAACGTATCCCTCCCCCTCATGCACCTCGTCTTACTAAACGCCGCGAGCGGCAACTGCGCCAGCTGAAACGTAAACAAATAGCCCCTCACCTTTTTAAACAGGCAAAACATGAGAATCTCATGGACGACGGCACTCAGGAAAAAGGTGAAGAACATGGCCTGCGTCTTGGACAGGCGAAAGGCGCTAACGGACGAGTGGTAGACGTGGCGGCGCAAAAAGGCTGAGACGGGTATGTTCCAGGTGCGGGCGTAGTGCTCAAAGGAGACGGAGTTCCACCAAGGACCGTAGAAGCCGCGGTCGGCGAAGCGTGTGATTTCGGCCACGACGTTGAGCAGGCATTCCCAGATGACGTACCAGGAGAGGAGCTGCTCGAGGAGTAAGGGGAAGAGCATGTCCAGCACCACCCAGGGAAATTCTTTCCACCGGTCCTCGAGGCTCATGCCTGCTTCTTTGAGGCGCACCGTTTGGATGACGACGGGGTAGATGTATGCTTGTGAGATGATGATCATGGTCCAGATGACGCCGAGGGTGGCGGCGGATTTTTCGGCCACGTACCACCAGTTTATGTGGGCTTGGCGGGGGTATTCGAGGTCGTAGAGTAGGGTGGGTAGGCAGGCCCAGTCGAGGAAGTTGGAGAGAGTAAGATTGGCGGGGTAGGTGGTTTGGGTGGTGGTGCAGTTTCCGCGGAGTTCTTCGTCGAGGATGGTGAGTTCGGTGGTGAGGATGCGGTGGAAGGTTTGGATTTCTTCGGGGGAGATGGGGGTGCCGCTTGAGAGGGCTTGGCCGATGGAGGCAATTTCAGAGTGTTCGGAGGAAAGATTTGTGGAGTATTTGGGACCGAGCGGATGGCGGTGGGTTAGCTGGGAGGGGGAGGGGGTGTCGGTGCCGGTTGTTGTTGAGCTGGCTTCTGTGGGGGTAGGATGGGCTTTGATATTTTCGAGTTGTTGACGTTTTTGCTCGAGTAGTCTGCGGCGTCTGTATACACAGGACACTATATCTTGATTAGTTGGGTTTAGATGGTCCAATGAAACTGACTCACAGTATCCGTTGTAGAAGGCGTAGGCGTGCTGCTTCATGAGTAGAACGAAGACATGGAGGACGATGAAGACAGTATGGGTCCAAGGCCAGTCTCTCCAGAAAGTGATCCAGATGATAATACCTGTGAAGAAAGCCTGCCATATCGATTGAATGATCCAGCCGGCTCCATTCCACGTCAGATGTTCGTTCGCAATGGCTTTCTGCAAGAAGAATCCAAAGATCGTTGCAGCACACATTGCTACGTCTATTGCCAACATGGTGAACAAGTCTCGATCGACCATTAAATGTAGAATCTCTGCGTCTCCAAAGATTGACCCTCTGCTCCGATAATTCCACGCCGCAATCCTGGCTAGCAATAGGAACATCGCAAGCCAGAATAGTGTGAAGAATCCATGGAATGGCGATTGTGCGGCCGTCGCATTCTGCCGGTCGAATGCAGTGAATTGTTGTGTAAAAATCAAATGTCGTGGCTTATATCTCGATTTTCCGCTGAGCTTGTCTGCTTCTTGTTGCAATCCTGTTCGTAGAATATCTTTGAAGAGGGGGTCCTTGGTGGTAAAGGTGTAGTCGCCCTTCTTATCTTCCTCGATAACAACCTGTATGCTCTTTCTCCGACTGCCCCCTTTTTCTCCCGTTTGCGCCTCTGAGTCGCTTTCGTCTGATGGAATGACGGTTGTACTTCGACTTTGAACATTAAAACCATGACGTTCCGACTGACTTGTACCGTCCACATCTGATGTATTCGCCGAGTTTTCTGGTGTCCATGAGTCTTCCCTTTCGAGTGATGGTTTTGTGGTAAGTCCTTGTAGTGCATACGCCAGGGCTGGCTGGCCCTTCCTTATAGATGTGACACCTGGTACGGCATCATCTTGCGTCCTCCCCATCTTCAATATTTGAATCGCGTGTAGTAGACTAGAGTCATGCAAGGAAGGCGTATTCCAGAAATGCAAATATCGAAGATTAGGGATCTTTTGTTTCGCTGGCGTTTGTGGCTACAACTCCTGGCAGAGACATGAAAGCCAGCTGTCCGAATTTGATGAAAAATGTTTCGATATATACAGTAACCTCGGAGGCCGTGGACTACCGGTGCCATATAAGATGAGTGAGCATCCCGAAGAACCGATCTGACAGAGGATGCGATGTTGATTCGGAACTTCGGCCATGTCAGATTGAAGAGGCCAGGGATGATGATGTAAACGCCACGCCGAAAGATGGGACGCGCCCACTTTTCCAAAAGCTTCTTCCTACAGACTTCAGCCACGGCATCGTCACGTGCGCAACCTCTCGGCAACACACCTGGGCTCTGTCATTCAAACTTGAAGATGCACAAATTATGCCCAATCTCGCTAAGGATGGTATGCCTGATGCTGTGAAAGTCACAAGGCTGTCTACCTACACACGCACACACAGCCTCTCTCGCTTCTTTTTAGCCCCCAAACATCGAAACGCTCACCGGTCACAAATCGTATACTTCGCATCCATGAATGCTTCACATTCGGTCCTCAGCCGCGCGATATCATAGGCTATTTCGTTTCCATCACGGTCAGCCGCACGCGGTACGTTACGCAAAAGCGGCCATCTTAGCGATATGACTGTACACCTTTGCGGTCAGTAACGGGAAGATCTTCTGAGCCACAACGCCATCTCGCTTCAATCCCTACCCAAGGCCCAAAATTGAGACAAGGCAACCCGCGAAACACCTTAAAGAGTCTCGGCGGAGCCTGCTATTCGGCCTGCGAATGCCAATATATGCGGGATGCAGCCACATGTCAGGCGCAGCGCAGATCAAGGTATTGCTGTAGGAGATATAACAGTCGCGAGGCTGCTATGTGCAAGGCCACTGTTGTCTTTTGATATTCCTTCTCGATTGCAATATACGTGTATCTGATTTGTTTATTGCTGTTGATATCATATCTTTCCAGTTAGTTTAGTCTTCAAGACCACACCATCTGACCGCAACCATCATGGCACCTAGACGTGGAGGTAGTAGCTCCAGCAGTAGTTACAGCAGTTCATGCCCCGGTGCATTCGAAACTACAGACTCAAGGGTGTATCTTGCTTGCATCGTCATCTTCTTCGTGGTATACCTCGGTATAGCCCTCAGTCTTAGCGGAGCACGCAAGAAAGCTGGGACAGGGAAACGGTTAATAGGAGCGCCGTACATAGTCGCATTGCTCTTCATGCTCATGTAAGTACCCTACATGGACTAGATTGAATTCTCTTCATATTAATCTGTATCAGAGCTTACGCCTTGGACATTGCGTCCACGGTACTGGTTGAATGCGAAACTCTGGCCGGGTCCAGCTACTACTCGATTGCCATCGCCATGACCGTGTTTTACTACTTGGCTTACTGGACATTGCTGTTTGTCGTGGTTTACATGCTCAACACGACACTGCGCGATCACACAATCGTAATTATCAAGATCGTCTTGCTAGCTATAGTCGGTATCGTTTTTGCGATCACTGCGGCTCATATCGGGGTGTCGAGCTGGAACCTCTGGGCCGTGACAGATGCTGGATACTGGTCTAATGCACGTCTTATCATTCGCTCGGCCAAGGAACTGCGCGTGGCATGGAGTGTATTGTACCTTCTCGCCGTGCTCGCCGCAGGAGTTTTGGCGTTGATGAGTAGCAGGCAATATGGATCCGTACGTCTCTTTATCCCCAAAGTACCCAGCACACAAGCTAACAAGCAAACAAGAAACTCCTCATCTGGGTTTCTGCGGTCATTTTCTCCATGGCCTTGTGGAGCATCATTGCAATCGTCTTCGCGGCTTCAAACCTCACCGATGGCTACCCAACCATGACCTTTGAAACCAGCGCAGCCTTGACATATGTGCAGAGTTTTTTCCAAGCACTGAGCTTCATTCTCATCATGTGCATTGCAAAGCGTGGTACTTGGAGTAAGCCTACAATTCCCGCAGCCAACACCACGCCTTATACTCAAAACCATCACGCCTACGCGCACGCAGCGGGACCGCAACAACCCTCCTACAAGTAAATACCACTCACTATACACCGGGTCGCGATAAGAAAGGCTTCTACCTTGACGGGAGCGAAGGAATGCCTGGGACGAACGAGCGATGGAGCAACGCGACATGATTGCCATCATACCTGATTTTCAAAGTTATCATAATACCCCCCAAATATACCCCCAACACCCACCCAGATAGTGCCAATTTCCGCAGAATACTTGATAGATGAATGACATCGCGCACCACCACTTTCCAATGTATACCGCCACGCCTTCCCACCACAGGGACTTGTTTGCGGGGAGGAGTGTAGGGGCGACCGGAGAAGACGAGACTGTGAATTCTGATAGAACTTCGGGGGTTTGAGTGGGTAGTCATTGATCATGGTTGACGCTGTTTTATTTGCTCATCATCGTTGTTCGTGTTGTCCTCGTCCTTGTCTTCGTGATGCGTGTTCCACTTCTCGTGACTGAAGAAGAAATTCCGCGTTGTTCAAGCTGGCGCACAGACATGGCGGAGAGGCAGATGACAGCTTACTATGGCGGGGATATACATGAGTTTGTTTGGAGAGGCAAATGGACCGAGGGGGTTATTTTTGTTTCAGTGGAGGAGCGAGACAGGAGATGAGGCGGGTGGAAGATATCAGCGTGACAATGTTTTCCGGGCTGGCTTGTAAGCTGGGGGAAACGAAGTAGACAGGAAGATGGTGAGATGTTGTAGTAGATCGAGTCTACAAAAGGCCAAGGGTGGACGCACGGCATAACGAGCTGCATGATGAATCAAAATAATTCGTCGGGGAAAGAGAATACAATATCTCACAACACGAGCTATAAAACCGAGGTGGCCGAAAAAGAAACAGACAGGCACAGAAGCAAGCTGCGCCGTAATGATGCAAAACAAGATTACCAGACGCCCACCTGTTTTCACGTCCGCCTGCTCAAAGCCCGAGTCAACTCAAGTTCGGAGTCATCCAAAAAAAAAAAAAGAATCGTACAAGTAGACATTTCTTCCCCTCCTTTCCGACCTCCTGCATGCGTGATGAAATGGAAAAAAGACACAAGACCCACTCAGTCCACCTTGATAGACTTGTAAATCCTGAGAACGAAGAGCCAGCTCGCAAAGAAGCCAATCGTACCTAGATGGTGCCAAAAAGTCAGTGATGAGAAAAAACAAAAAAGTCCAACGAAGAGCGATAGGGGGAGGTTGATGAGTTGCATCGACTTACCGATTAGCACAAAGACCAGTCCACTGAGGAGTGCAGAGTAGCCCAAATACACCACGCCACTGGTCCAGCTTGTCCAACTGACGTCCTTGACCCAGTATAACAAGCAGCTCAAGAAGACATATCCCGCGCTAGCTCCAGCCGTGAAGAAGCTTCGCCATTGCCAGTGGTAGTCCTCGGCGCAAAGAAGGAAGTAGATCATCAACACTGTGACGGCGGCAGATGTCATAATCATGAGGCCAAAGCAGATGAAGAGGAAGCCGAACATGTAGTACACCTTGTTGAACCAGATCGAGTTCATGATGAAGTAGAGTTCCACGAAAATGGCGCCAAAGGGGAGAACGCCTGCGAGTGCCATGGATGGTAGGGGTCGCAGGTATCCACCCGCTGGAGGAATCTGCCGGGGGATCTGGTTTGTGCGCACAGGTGGTTCAATGGCGGCTTGCTTGAAGCCAAGCCAGGAGCCTGCCAAGCTGAGTGGGACTGAGATGACGAACCAAATGATGATGATGATGAGCATGGTGCTAAAGGGTACGGCTCCTGAGGCGCCGCGGCCCCAGACGAAGAGGTTGAGTAGAAAGAAGGTGGCGAAGACGATGCCGGGGACAGCGACTGGTGTGTAGAAGAAGCAGAGTTTCCAAGACTCGCCGTGAAAGAACTTGTATACGCGTGCGGAAACATAGCCGCCGAGGAGGCCGAATAGAGTGTAAAAGATGATGATGACAGTACCGAGGGCACCGCGGTTGCTGGGAGAGAGGAAACCCAGGAGGGCAAACACTGAGAATGTTAGATAATGATATGGAGGCTTGAGGGTATGTCCTCAACGTACCAATAGTCAAAGCTGTCATAGCAAAAAGCTGAGCGCCGTTGCCAATGAGAACGGACAACAGAAGAGGGTTCTTTGGCGGTCTGAATACATCACCATGCACCAGCTTCCAACCAGAGTCATCTTGTCCATCTTCTGCCTCACCGCCCTCGCCGAAGTCTTCGAGCGCGAATTGATCCAAACGATTGTACCTCGCAATGTCCTTTTTCAGTGTCCGCACCAGGATTGTGCTCACCATTCCCACAAGGAAAACAACAATGACAGCCGAGTTGACGAGGGAGAACCAATGAATCTTGGGGTCGTAGACGTGGAGATACTTGTCCCAGCGTGTCGCAAACGGCGTCGGACTCAGTCTCCAGTACACGCCGTAGGTAAATGCGACTTTGTTGTCTCGGTCCTCTTTTAAGATAACTGGCGGTGGTTCCTGGCCCTCGCCACAGGTCGCTTTTCCATCGCCGAGTATCTTCGAGGATTCGATTGAGAATGGGTCCACCAGCACACCCACCACCCTAAAGTTGTTTGGACTGGCCTCGTGGTAGTCAATCACAATGTCGTAGTGGTTATTGAACATGGGCGCATTCGTCTCGGCTTCTGTCCATCCCAGCGCAAAACCTGGGCTGTAAAACTCCTCGTCCGAACTGGGGTCTCGCAGAAGTTGGGCGGCGGGTAGTCCGTCTATCAGCCAGTTGAGATCGTAGCCCTGCTCTATTCTGCTGTTGACAAAGATGGCATCTTTGGATGGGTACTCTGCCTCACAAAGCGGTTTACACGTCTCGTTTATGCCCATCTTTAATTCGAAGGGACTCGTCTGTATACGGTCGCCGAACAATATGCTGCCCAGGCTCTCTCGTTGGTCTTTGGGGCCATCTTTCGGTCTGCAGAAGTGAAAGGGCGGATAGTAGTAGTCGTAAGAATATACGGATCGCAGTTTGGGATCGACCTGGGAATCGGCGGGGGTGAGATGATTGACGTATAGGGGTACCAAGTCGCCGGTCTTGTATGATGTAGGCGCGACACCTGGGAAGTAGAAGGCGGTCGCGGGTATGGGCGCGAGAGCTAGCAATGAAGCTATGGCCGCGCCTGAAGGCGATAGGTGGAGTCGCCGCATTGTGAAAAGGTGGCTGCCTGTCGATTACAGCTATGTGGTATGTATGGATACTGGTAGAGTCTGGCCTCGCGAGGGAAATACGTGGTGCCAGCTCAAAATTGCGGGCGGACCTCCGAAACGTACGTACGGCTGCCTGTGACACTGTGTTTGGTAGGTACCGGTAGGCGCTGCAGGGCGATTGGCGATATTGTTTTTTCCGTTGTTTCCCTAAGACTTGGAATATAGACTACAGAATTACCAAGGGGGGTTCTCGGCTGCAGGCTTGTGACTATAACAACGGCATGGTAAATTAATGAAGCTACCTGTCCCTTAGATCTGACGTTACCTCAAGGGCCGAACCAAATTACGGGTTTGCCAAGACTTCAGTCAGGACTTCCCTCTTTGAGTCCTCCTGTACCCTTGTACGACAAAGTTGGCTGGCGCATATGAGCCTCCGACTCACACTACTACTGCTGCTACTATCACTAGTAACCGATTGCAGATATGGAAGATTAGGCATGCCTGGAACTAGCTTGTTATTTCGTCTTCAAGTTCCACAGCGCGCGTTTGCAAGGTTATATACATCAAGCATCATGTCCCATAGTTACGCCGAGGCGATGCCAGATCTTCCCCCCAAACCCTTGAATAATGATCCGTGGTCGAAGATCTGCCAGAAATCATCCCGCAAATGCGCTGTAATATCGAAGGAAACCAACAACGGAAAACGACAATGGGTATCAATCTCTCCTCAGACAAGCCCATCATAGAGAGATAACGCCGAAACAATGGTCTCGTCGCGCTTGGAACCCTCCTTGAACTCGGCCATGTCCAGGCTGCCGTTCTCATCCTTGTCCATCATCCTGAAGATCTTCTTGACGCGTTTCTCGGGTGTGTCTTCGTCTTCGGGAAGCTTGACCATGGAGCCGACCTAGACATGTCAATCAAAACCAGAGGCAGTCAAAGGGTCAGCGCGTACCATCTTGTAGATGGCTTCTACAATCGCGAGCATTTCTTCGTAGCTGATCTTGCCGTCGCCGTCAATGTCGTACAGCTGGAATGCCCAATCCAGCTTGTCCTCCATCTTGCCGCGGCTAGTGACACTGAGGGCGCAAATGAACTCCTTAAAGTCTATGGTTCCTGACTTGTCTGCGTCGAATACATTGAAGACGTAATCTGCAAATGACGAGGGATCACCGAATGGAAAGAATTGCTTGTAGATCTTCTGGAACTCGTCCTTGGTGAGCATGCCGGACGGGCAGTCCTTGAGGAAGCCTGCGGACCCGTTAGTCGCCGCCGAGCAGGACTGTCCTTATTGCGGAGACACACCCTTGTACCATTGTTGTAGCTCTTTCTTGTCAAAGTGTGTCGCTTTCTGGAGGTCAGCCAGCTCCTGCTGGGATAGCTTGCTTTGGCTGTAGAGTCGCACAATCAGCGTCTTGTTCTGCATCTCAAGGTATTCCACGTTGCTCCGCGACCCAAGCTCCCTTTCCAGTTCTCGGACGGCGTTGGTGAATGCGACTTTCTGCAAGGCTTTGTAGTGGTTGTAGCCGGGCTCCCCGTGGCGGGGCACTACGACATGATGGCGACGCGCAAAGTTGAGTGGAGGGTGTTTGTGTTCCAACATGGGTATACCAGGCGCGGCGAGCGGCGAGCGAGGCGAAGTTGGGCTGCACGTATCGACATTGTCGGAGCCGTCGTGGCGGTCGGGTCGAAGTTGGGGTGACATGGTTGCACAATGGTGTTGTCGACGATTGTGGTGGTGGTGGTAGTGGTAGTGGTGGCGCCCGCCGGCCATGTGCGTGGCTTCTCATAGAGTCCATGGCATGTCACGACTGACTGTTTGTTTGCTTGACGAGTAGCCGGTGGGGTTGGGGCGCGCGGTGAAGGGGAAGTCTTATCCGGAGCTGGGGCAGGGGCGGCGCTTGGGCGACAGAGAGTAGGCAGGTGAATGGAAAGCAGACTTACGATTTTCCCATAACTGGAGATTATCTGTCGCGGAGAAGAAGGAGGAGAAGGAGAAGGAGAAGGAGAAGGGTGGAGAGTAAGCAGAGGAACAAGGAACGAAACCAAAAGGTAAGTCTGCAGGCAGTAATGCTTTGGTGTGGGCGCACCCAGTACGGTAGTTGGGGCTGCTTGCTGACCAGGTAGTTCAGTTCGGTGGCGGGGTCGGCGGACCAATCGATGGGATGTAGCGGGGTACGGGTACGCTGGAGGGTGCCGAGCGTGCAATGGCAGAGAACGAGGGACAGAGTCAGAGTCAGAGTCAGAGTCAGAGTCAGAGTCAGAGTCAGAGTCAGGCAGCAGGGCAGCGGCTGTTTGGGGTTGCACGGGAAGCTGGGTATGAGGATAGTAGTAGTGGTGATAGGTAGTAGAGGTACTCTACTAGAGCGAGCAGAGAGAAGATATATAGTATGACGAGCACCATCCAGCAAGGCAAAACTCTTCAGCCCCTTGAAGCCACTAGGTAGACCGGTTCGGTCTGCGGCGACCAGTGCATGCAGGCGAGGCAGTCACAAGAAGAAAGATGGGTACATGGTAGCACACGCTCCCAGTACTACTTACTGTATGTCGCCCATGGAGCCAGGACCAGAATAGCGGGCCAGTGAGGAGAGACTACTCTATCTGGCGCTCGTATGGACTCTTGGAGTACTAAACAGTCCAAGTCAGCCCTATACTCTACACAGATGTACTACTGTTGTGCGTATAGCATATGCGACCCCGATGCAACCAGCTGCGCGTGTAGATCAGTACGATATTGGACCTCCGATCCCCCGTGTTCTGGGGGGCCAATCGCGTACATCACGTGACCTCGTCAAGCTTCAAATTTCGGCCATCCACCCGACCGCGCCTGCGGGTTCCCTGGGCCCCTGAACACTAGCAGCTCTGGACCGAACATCGAGCTGGAGCGGAGGCTTGAGCTTGTGCTTGTCTGCACTGCCACCAAAATACATTTCTTATATCACACCTGCCGTGTGGAGGCGCAGTTGCACTCACTGCCTACCCCATCCATCACCCCACCATGGATGACGTCCTGACGACCCAGTTTGAAAGAGTGGAAAAGGCCTTGAGCTCACTGGTCGAGTCGATAGCCACCTACAACCCTTCCCCACAGGCTGCCCTCGACCTGGTAGCCGCTGATGACCATCTTGCGCATGGGCTGGATCAGCGTACGTGTCATTGGAATTCCTTGCGTGGACCTTTCATTTACAATAGCACAGTGGCCAGACACCAGGCCAATCATGCTCGCATTCAACTGCTGCGTGCCGAAGCGGAAGGCCTCGAAGAACAGCTAAAGTCCTCGGTCGAGAAGCTTGCGACCTTGCGCCACGACCTCTTCGACACACCAGCCACCATCTTCCCAGAGCACTCACGCCCTGTGCCCTTCGACGAACTCCTCCAATACGCTAGCAACATCTCGAAGCATACTGTACCGCCAACTTATCGCGAACGCGTCCCCGGCCCGGCTGGAAACCAGGACAAAGACAGGGAAGAGGCCAACTCAAGTGGTGCTTTGACAAATGGTGTGAATACACCGGCGATCCAGCCAGAGGTACCCGAGACCGCAGTAGCTCTTATAGAGGGCCAGAAAAACGACGAGTCTGCTGCAGGCGCCGCGCCGGAGATTACAGAAGAAGAAGCAGAGTGGTTGAAGAAACTCAACCAAAGCCAGTTGTCTTGGTACCCTTGGCCGAGCAACGACAAAATTCGCCAGAGTAGCCTTTACAAAATCCAAGCCTTTCGCGAGCAAAATTATGATCTCAACACATTCAGCATACCGGCCCATGAAGAGGCCAAGAGATTGAAGAGGCTGAAGAGGCTGCAGCAAGCACTCGGCCAAGGCTCACCCGAACCTCAGGCTGAGGAAGTGCAGCCAGGCATCGAAGCTGTTCAGACAATCAGAAGACCGGTGGCACAACCTACGAACATATTCGATGACATGGATGATGATTAGGAACATCTTTCAAGGCGGGAGTATGTGTATGCTGGGCCCGGCTACCATAGGCCTGCACTCCATGTCCTTCGTTTAGAGATATTTCTCGCCAGTATCCAAGAACCCAGGTGCTCGTAGACTTAGAATACAGAATCATATTGCTGCCCACCACGTACATATATCGTTTACTCTCATGCGTTGATGAACTGCGCTCGTCTGGTAGCAGGTCTTTCTCTCACTATAGGTGGCTACGTCGCTGCGTCGCAATGAGATCGGATATCAAGCTAAGTAGTCATGTCTAGATGGTTCAAACTGATAGTGGTGGTAGTCGCCACATTAAACACAGCTACTATACCGTACCTGGGAATAACATTAGGCACTCAATTGGAATGTATCGTGTAGAGAAAGCCTACGGGAGCTAAAGAGATCGACGGCAGGGGATCCGCATGGCTTAAGCGAAGAAGCTAGGACCTGTGCTAGCCTTCAAGTCTACACCTTCAAACCGCTTGAAGGGTTCGACACTCTTTTACATCATCCTAATCCTTTCTACAGCCATGTCCTTCTTCCAAACGCCAAGTGATGTCGAAACTCGTTTGTGTACAGCAGTTGATGCGGCTATTCGAGCGGAAAATGCCCAACAACTACAATCGATTGTACTTTTAGAACCTCCATTCCCAGCCGACCACCAGGAATTGATCATATCACTACAAAGGAACTACCCCGCAAACGACCCCAGGTCGGAGGACAGACTGAAGAATCTTGTCAAAAGAGTCGTGACAGAGACAAGTGAATCGCAGGACGCTGAAGGACGGCCCATCTCAGAATGGACTGCCATGATTACTTTCTTAGTCGGGTGGATGGTCACTCTAAGAGATATGGATGTTGACAATCTCGTACTTTTATTTCAGCAATTAAGTGATATTCTCCAGTAAGTAACTTGGCGGATTTGGACAACCATGAGGTCTATTCTGCGTAAACTGACATTCGTATAGACGCGGGGATCGGGCACTAGCTCATCCAACAAAAGGAATTTTGATGCTACCGACCATCATCAGCTATGCTCATATCTTTGCACGAGTTGCAGTCGGATTGGATAAGCAACCAGAGCTAATAGCGCATTTGATCGCCAACTCGGTAGATGAGGAAGGCCAACGAGAGTCTCTCCCCGAGAAAGCAGCCAACATCCTGAGACAAGCATTCACTACATGCTTAAATGACAAGAATGTAGCCCCACGAGGTATCAAGGACGGTAAACCCGACGGGAAAAAGGTTGGGATATACAAGATGGCGAACATCTGCCTGAAGATCCTCCTACAAGCCGACAAGCCCGAGAATTGCGACTTCATCTTCAACTTGATATCAAAAGGCTCACCACCAGTTGATATTTATCCTGCTGCAGATCGGGTCACTTATCTTTACTATCTTGGGCGGTGCCACTTCGCCAGCGGAAACTTCTATGGAGCGCAACTCGTCCTGGCCAAGGCTTACGAAGAGTGCCACTGCGATAATGCTTTCATTCAGCAGCGACGGAAGATTCTCGTCTACCTAGTTGGCGCCAACATCATCCTTGGTCGCTTCCCAGCAGACGTTTTGTACGAAAAACCAGAAGCTAGAGGCTTTCGCGAGATCTTCCGACCCATTACCAAGGCCATACGGCAGGGCGACCTAGAAACCTTTCGCCGCATCACCAGTCTCGACCTCACACATCCCAGCTGTGACTTTCTCATGCACTATCGCATGTTCTACCAGATTGGTAATTACTGCGAAGTCCTCGTCTGGCGATCCCTCATCCGCCGCGTATACCTCTTGACGGGCGCGCAAGGTGCAGGGATGCAAGCCGCCGCCGTAGTCGACCTCAACCACCTATTGCGAATCTTCCGCTTCCTAGAGGCCCGCGCGAGAATCAAGAATCCTGCACTCGCTGCCTCCGATCTAGGCCCCGGGCGCAGGGACATGGGCCATCTTTTCAATGACTACGCCAGCACCACCAAATCTACCTATGTCGACCCAGATTTTGTAGGCATGGAGGACGTCGAGCCGTGGAATGATGAGATGGATATCCTGGAAGTGGAAAGTATATGTGGGAGTCTAATTACGCAAGGCTATTTGAATGCTTATATCAGTCAGAGAGCGGAGAAGTTGGCCATCTCTGGGGCTAGAAGACCCCAGGATGGTGGGGCGTTGAGGGTGGGGTTCCCGAGTCCTTGGTCGGTGATTAAGAGCCGGAACAGTGAGGACGTGCTGGGGTGGGTCAAGGAATTTGGGCCGATGAGGCAGGGGGAGATTGTTCGGCTTTCGGGTGCAAGAGCGGCGGGGGAGTAGGGCTGAATCGGAGAATGCAGATGATACCCATGGATTCGGTGCTTGTGGGCATTTCCGAAAGATACCTCTTGCAAATCTTGCTCATCATGTATCTGAGATTTTTGTGTCAGGATTGCGACTGAGATTGGATGAAGAGTCTTGAAAATGTCAAGTAATCTTCCGTCTTGACTATCATAAGGTCTAAATGCAGACATAGTTATAGCCCCTAATGAATATTGTCGGTGGCTACAGACTTATTTCTAGCATCATGTGACATGTGTTGGTAGCTGCCTACTCTGTAGGTACTAAATGGAGCGACGCAAATGATTACAGGACATCGTAGCGTCCATGTAGGTACTGTGTATATTAGGGCAAGCCGGCTCCATACAATAAGTAAAGGTTCTAAACAATGCATACAAATATGACTTAAGAGAAAGTTTGAGCAGTATTGCGCTCGCTTGATTTGGCTAACGTGAGGTGACTTATCTTGGTACAGTTGAGCCTTACTACCGGTAGTACCCCGCAATGCCCATCAACGTCACGACGTGGGGCATCAACTTCCTACCATTGAGCATTCCATATCTCCGTTAGTACTTCTTCTTTGCACTAGTAAACTTAACGAAACCATCAAGAGTATCACCTATTCAAGAGCAGGAAAGATTAAAAAAAAACCCCCCAGCAATGGCGCACCTCACACGAGAAGAAATACTCAAGTCTGGGGAAGTCGCTCCCGAATACAGAAAGGTGACCATATAAACCCATGGCCCCATTCGATGCAACATGCAAAGTAGAACCAAAACAGCCTCTCTAGAACATTCACCAACAAATATTCCAGGCTTTTGAAGCGCGTCCGTTGGATATTGCGAGAGCAGACTTCTTCGAGTCGCGTTCCGCACGAGCCGAACATCTTCAGAAGCTGCGCCATTTATACCCCATTCCTGGTCCCATTCCCGATGTCGTTAAAGAGACTATGCACACGGTGCCGATGCGTGATGGTGCGACCATCAATGTGCGTGTCTATCAACCCGTTGCCGGACCGCCAGAGGGTGGGAGTCCACTGATTATGATGTTTCATGAGGGAGGCTGGAGTATGGGCGATCTCACGGATGAAGATATGAATTGCCGGATGTTTACGAGGGATTTGGGTGCCGTTTGTGTGAATGTTGAATACCGGTGCGTGGTGCTCTGACTTGTATATTCCATCCCCTTCTTCCATACAACCACACAACACACCGTAGATCATGCTGACCCACACCACCCACCACCACAGTCTCGCACCTGAACACAAATTCCCCGTTGGCGTGAACGACTGCTGGGACGCGCTCAAATGGGCCATTGCCCATAGTTCCCAACTCCAGGCCACACCATCGCGCGGCCTCCTCGTCGGCGGCGCCTCAGCCGGTGGCCAGCTCGCCGCCGTCCTCGCCCTGCAATCCCGCGACGAGAAACTAGAACCGCCCATCACAGGTCAATATCTCTGCGTACCGGCAATCCTCCCGGACACCAATGTGCCCGCCGAAGTCGCACATTTATACCAGTCCCGCTCTACCAGCACAAACGATCCCGTACTCAAGGGCCTGCCCCCTGGCGCAATCGAGGCAGTCTACGGCCCGGAGCAGTTCTCGCCGTTGTGGGATCCGTATAACCACCCGCAAGGGCACAAGAATGTAGCAAAAGCGTTTTTCCAGGTCGGTGGCCTGGATCCGCTGCGCGATGAGGCGGTGCTGTATGACCGCAAGTTAAGGGAGAGTGGAGTATTGACGAGATTTGCCCTATATGACGGCTATGGTCATATGTTTTGGACTAATTATCCCGAGTTGGAGCAGAGTAAGAGGTTTGTTGAGGATACGTTGATGGGAGTTAGGTGGTTGCTTGAGAGGCCGTAGGGTGGAGATTGTACTGACGCATTGAAACGATCCCCCACTTGACTGAATCTGTAATGAGGAATGCTTGAATTTTTTAGGTCAAGAATGATGGTGTTGGACATCACTGTACGCTCAGTCACGGAACTGAAATGTGGAGCCAGTGTATACCGTTCACAACACCCCATCAACCACAGCTAGCTCACATCACCACGTCTCCCCGCCACCCCTTTAAATTCCTCCCCCAACCCTCCCTCAAAAAACTCCCCCTTACCCACCAGAACAAACGCCAAACCACCAAAACCAACAACCAAAAAACATTCCAAACCCCCTTCCCTACATCCCATCATACCACACTAACCAACCACCCCCAGTGCCCCGCCGCGTCCACTTTCCCCAAACACCAACTTCCCCTCCGGCGACCGCCTCACAGCCGCCAACCTCATCCTCGTCCCACCGGCTACTGCAACGGCGCCGCAGAGCGGTATCTGCCGCAGCCGGCGGAACCGGTGGCAGTGGCGAAATAGGTATGCGTGGGGGGATGCTGTGCGGCGGTATTAGTGATATGTTTGTGTAGACGTGCATAGGTAGTTGTGTGAAATCATGCAAGTATCACAGTGTTGAAATTGATATTTGCGCTTGCGTGTCTTGCGGTTGAGGAGGTGTTTGAAAAAGGGGGAGAATGAGGCTGAGGTGTTTATAACAGTGATTATATTTCTCCAAGACGGTGGATGGAAGATTCGAGTCTACTTATCCATATTAGAAAAAAAAAGGGGGCAAACAAAAACAACAAGCACAAAGGAACGCCGGTTGCACAAACGTAACCAACCAACCCAGGGTATAAATTAGCAAGAGAAGAAGAGACCAAGGTGTTTACGACCCAATGCCGATTTCATAGCCAATCAGGACTTCCGTTGATGCGCCTTCCCAGCCGCGATTGCCGCCCGTGGAAATCATGAAGCTGCACGTGGGGTCGAGGTAGAGCTGCGAGATGACGCCGGTGCGGTGACCGGGTACGATGAGAAAAGGGGTTGCGGCTGCACCCTTTGTGCCGGCGTCGGGCTGGGTGAGATCGTAGAGGCGGAGGATGTCGTAGGAGGCGCTGGGGTGGGAGTGAGTATGTGAGATGATAGAGAGGATAGGGTAGGGGGTTGGGGGGCTATTGAGAGTAATGGTGGGTGTAGTGCTTGTTACGTACCAGATGAGGTGCTTGCCGTTGGGCATGGCGCGTACTGCACTGACAGCACCGCTGACGCTTGGAAAGCGAAATGTGCGCCGTGGCTCCCTCAGCCCTTTGTGCAGACTGTACTCGTCCACTGTTCCATTTCTCCGGCCGGCATAGATGAAATTGCCATCGGGGGACCAGCAGGCATTCATACACCATGGCGGCGTGTTACGGGGCGGTGTGATGCGTGCGACTGGATTTGGTTGTCTGCGGTCCCAGATACGCAATGTACCGTCAATGGATGCGTCCATGAATGTTGTCTCAGAGGAAGCTGGTTGCTCCGTGTTTCCAGCTGACGTGTTTGTGGGCTCCATGGCTTCGTCGGCATGCGGTAGGCCGTCGACTGTCCCGCTTGCTTGCGATGGCGATTCCGATATACCGTTTGTCAAGGCTTGGGAGTTTGCTGCAGCTGATGTCTCTTTTGGGGCTTCGCCGGCTGAGTCTTGTGGTGCTTGGACGGGGCCACCCATGTCCATCATGTCGAGGTCGGCATTTGCGTCTTCGTCTGCTTGCTGTATGCCGTTCGCAATGGCGATTGAGAATTCGTCGTCGTCGTCGCCGAAGGATGGTAATGCAGATGATGGATTATTATCTTGGCCGTCACCAAAAAGAGAATCTTTATCGCCGAAGAGAGAATCGTCAGGGGAGCCTTGGGCATCGTCATTGCCAGTTTCATCTTTGGCTTGGGTTGGCTTCGCATCGACCCCGTTCGTGAGGCTGCCGTTGGGGCGTGGCCGTGCAGCATTGTTGGACGAAAAGGTGCCGTTTGAAAGGGGGAGGGTCTCGGTGTCCTGAGGAATGGGCAGAGTAGAGAGTGGCCGCTGCTCAATGGCTGAGATTTGCCCACCGCTAGTTTCGAACTTTCTCTTGACTTGGCCAGTGTTGAGGTCCCAGTCATTGATCGTCTTGTCCCAGCTGCCGCTTAATACCGAGGTTTCGTCTTGTGACAGTGTCAAGACCGACACAGCAGACGTATGCCCTTTGAGCGTGTGTATCCTTGTTCCTTCTTGGTGGCGCACAGACTGCAGATTGATTCCCCCAGATTCCAGACCTGAAAGTAGCCAGAGCGCCTGGTGATGCACGGCCAGGGAGTAGACTGGTGACAGGCTCTCTTGCGAGCCAGAGGGATCCTCATTCTCCCAGTACGATAATAATACCCCCGCTTTTGTCACTGAATCGACAAAGGGGTGGCGTTGGGCGACTGTCAGGGCAAGCTTGCCATTGGCGGTATCTACCCAGTTGAATTTCCTGATGTACCCATCCGCGCCTCCACTAAACACCCATCGCATATCCGGCGTGGCTGTAATGGAGTTGATGGAGGTGCTGTGTGGAGCGGCGATGGTGGGTATGATGTCGTAGACCGGCGCATTAAGGGCCTCCTGGCGCACGCTGGGACGGAATGGCAGGTTGCCCAGGACGCATGAGGCTGCTCGTGGGCTAGGGGATGTGAGCGTCACGTCGGGATTCGCGTTCGATTGACCAGATATATTGCCATTCGTCTGACTGTCGCGTCGCCGTTGTGAAGGACTGTCAGGCTCGTCACCGTCCTGTTCCCCATCTCCATCTCCATCCCCGTCTCCGTCTCCGTCTCCATCTCCGTCTTGGTCCTGGTCTTGGTCTTGATCCCCATCTTGGTCGTCATCGTCGTTGTCTCCATCCCCGTCGTCGTCATCGTTGTCCCCATCATCATTGTCATCGCCCTCATCATCATCGTCTACGTCCATGGCGTCTGCCTCGTCTGCCTCGTCCTCGTCTTCAGCGGAGCCTGTTGGGTGCCATTAGCACTGCAGCTGTTCCAAGCGCAGTCGAAGCACTTACTGGCGCCATTCTCAAAGTCGTCCTCCTCATTCATGCTGCTATATCCCTATTATCTTTGCATAAATCGGCAGCTATAAATTGAATATCCTGGCTGCGTAGATCCGGGGAAAGCCTTTCACATGCGTTGAAGTCGCGTTGTATTCGTAGTTACGCTCGGCTGCGCGTCATCTATTCGCGAACTACGGTACGGTACCGGTATGACCAGCCATCGCCGGGCCGATGTGCCGAAATCTGCTACTTCAACAACTACATTTCGCGACGACTATCAGCTCATACCATCAAATTTGAAATATCCTCTTAACCAGAACATTATACTTTTGAAAGATGAAGATCTTAATGGGATGAATAGCAAGGGCTAATTGGCCAATTTGCTCATTTCTTGTCGACCCACATCAACGAACTCGCATCATCTCATCTTTAGCTTTTGTAAGACAAAGACGAGTCAGCCCAATCCGACATAGCACCAATCCTATGTTGACTCACTTTTGACTGTATTGCTCTGTTCCACTACTATCGTGCAGTGTCAAATGCATTGAAGATTGGAATATCGATAAAGCCACAGATGTTTGGGACATTCGTTGAGGCAGTCAAACGCTGACAAGCCAATACCTAGACTTTCATGTGCCTGTCCCCCTTTTAGTGCCTCAGTATTGCAAAAGAATTTCCTCAACAACTAATAGGACAGTTCCAGTTGACATACATAGCCTTTAGGTCATCTGTTCGTCATCTGTTCAGGAGCACGAATTGCAGTGCATCAGTGGAACTTGACTTTCGAGTGGCAGCCCAAATGAGTCTCAGACATCCATAGTGTGTCTTTGCTCTGAGTACAGAATTCTGAGCTGTCAGCCCGACTTATAGTATGTCTTTGATCTGGGGACAAAGTTCCCACATGCCGAAACCGCATGTAAGCACGACAGCACGCACGCCATGCTGGAACAGTGCAGCTCAGCACCATACACACCACGTCTCCTATGCGTCCATTGCAGTTTGCTGATAGAAGTCTTTAACTATATAAAGTTTGGGTTAGCGCTTTCTGAGCGCACCTGCCTGAAGTGTTCTGTTTGCACACTGCAGATTACGTGATGGCTCAGGGCTTGTTGACAGACCGCCGGTGGAGACCGCCGGTACCGCCAACAGTGCCAACATGCCGACGGCACACTGCGTCTAGCACACACATTCTCATCAGATATTCTCTCCTTTCGTTCTTTTTACATTCAAACTTCGTTAAAACAATCATTGCGTGCGTGCATAAGCGGCAGGTTGCCTGCACCGCAAACATGACACGCAGCTCGCGCGGACGACCAAACAGGCCCAATCAACAGCGAGGTAATCGAAGCAACAGACCTCTTCGAGGAGATACAGTACAGCTGGACAATCCATTTGAAAGCCTGGAAAACCTTGGCCATGATGGTAAGTCTTATTCTGTCTCACTCAATCACCAATTGAGACACCCTTCCAAGTCAAGCGCAGATTTTCGTTCCGCATCAACATATTCTTCCCCACTCCGTCCCCACTGTTCTTCTTCATTCAATCATTTCCAAAGTTTCACTATGAATGGGTCTCAACGTCTCACAGATGGCGAGGTCAACGCCCACCTTCACGAGCGGTTCGGGTCAGGGAACATGATTCCACATGACGACATCCCTACTTCAGCAGGCCCACACGAGAACGATGATATTCAAAATTACTTCAAACTCGCAGAAAAAGAGGTTATTGGTGCTGGCGAATGGCTAGACAAACCTGAGATCCCAACGTCGTCCGAGATATTGCGTAAGCAGACCGGATTCCGCAGCATTGAGTCTGAAAACCTGATCGAGGTCGATGAAAACATCCAGCCACACAAGGTAGAAGGTCCTTACGAGAGAAATGAGCACTACCTTCGAACCAAGTACGAGCTGTTCCGTGAAGACGCTGTACGCCCGCTGCGTGAAACTATTGATGTGGTTCGTGCAGATCCATTCAAGGACGAGGCGGAGTATGGCAATAACAACATTGGCATCTACGATCCCGTTTACATCACCTCTTTAGTCTTCTCTCCCCGAGGATTGGCAACGCGGGTTGCATTTTCGCTCAGTCGTGTGAAGAAGCAAATTCGCTGGGAGCAGTCCAAGCGCCTCATCACTGGTACACTTGTCGCATTATCACCGATAGATGATGCTTTCCAAACACAGTGCGTACTCGCCACAGTTGCCGCCCGACCACTCTCAGCAATGGAGCAGAATCCACCTGAGATTGACCTCTTCTTCGCTCGGCCTGAGGAGCAGGAGATTGATCCAATGCGCAAATGGATCATGGTTGAGTGCCGCAGCAGTTTCTTCGAAGCGAGCCGACATACGTTGCTGGCTCTTCAACATATGATGCGAGAGCCGTTCCCGCTGTCCAAGTATCTTGTCAGCGTAGAGAAAGAGGTGGATGCGCCAGCATATGTACGGTACAATCCATACATGAACTTGAGCTCTCTCGTAAGCCTTGAGGAGAGTGCAGATTTCGAGAATGTCAACGTCTTGGAAACTTGGCCATCCGGCTCATCGCATTCGCTGGATAAATCTCAGGGCAAGGCACTGAAGCGAATGCTCACGAAAGAACTGGCTCTGGTACAAGGGCCGCCGGGAACTGGAAAGACTTTCGTCTCTATCGTGGCACTTCAGATTGCTCGCGACAACCTGCGTAAGGATGACTCGCCCATCATCGTCACGGCTCAGACTAATCACGCCCTTGATCAATTGCTTCGACACACAGCACAGTTCGAACCAAACTATATTCGACTGGGGGGAAGGAGCAAGGACAAGGAGATCAAGAAGCGTACTCTGTTTGAAGTCCGCTCGGGGTTGCCTCACCAAAAGCGGCCTGGTAGCAAGAAAGTTGTGGCCATGACAAGTTTAAAAAACCTCACTGCGAAGGCTCAGTTCTTGCTTGCACCCCTGGAAGCTAATAAGCCTCCTCTCGATCACAAACTCTTAGAGATGCTCGGGTTGATTACCAGGGAGCAAGCAGAATCCCTGGAGATGGAATCGCAATGCACTATGGGTATCTCATCAAACGAAAACCCTGGCCTTCTGATGGAGCAGTGGCTTGGTAGGTGTCTGGCTCCGTGTAACAGGCCGATAGGCCCTGATGATTACGATTGGGCATTTGAGGAAGAAGGTATGATTGATACGCATAGGACCTGTAGACACGCCTTCCAATGCTAACCTTCTGCAGATCTTGACGTCGAACAGCTCCAAGAACTTGAAGCAGAAGCTGTAGCCAAAGATGATGATGATCTAGAGGCTCTCCGCGGGCCCGTCACGCTACTGAGGGACAATTATATGGGAAGAGGAAGAGCGTTAACACAAAGTCAGATCCGGAAATTGTTGCGCACAGATGACTTGACTACCGTCGGGAATGATGAACGCGGCGCTATCTACAATCACTTCATGCGCGAAACCAAGAGGCTCGTGCTAGCCGAGATCCGCGAGATTGCAAAGAAGTATAGCAAGGTCGTCCAAGAGCGCAAGATCGGTCTGTGGGAAGAAGATGTACGTGTCTTACGCAAGGCGCGCATTATTGGGTGCACAACCACAGGCCTATCCAAGTATCGAGGACTACTTTCGGGTCTACGACCAAGAATCTGCCTGGTTGAAGAAGCGGCTGAAACGCTGGAGGCACCTGTGACGGCGGCATGCTTTCCAACCTTGGAACACCTGGTTCTTGTGGGTGATCATCAGCAGCTACGGCCTCATACACAAGTCAAAGAGTTTGAAGATGCTCCCTACTACCTCAACCTGTCCATGTTTGAGCGTCTAGTCTGGAATGATGTGGAGTTTGACACGCTTGCGAGGCAGCGACGTATGATCCCGGAGATCAGAAGGCTGCTATATCCCATATACGAGTCTACTTTGAAAGATCACGAAAGCGTCAAGGATGTCAGCAACCGCCCTCCAGTCGAAGGTATGGGCGGGAACAACTCTTTCTTCTTCTGCCATGAGTGGCCAGAGGATCGAGATGCAAACAAGTCCACATTCAACGAACGAGAGGCAGCCATGATTGTCGGCTACTTTGATTACTTGGTTCTGAACGGTGTAGACGCGGCAAAAATGTGAGTTCTACTACTGAAACCAATTGGGTAATTACTAAATTGACATAGCACGGTTTTGACATTTTACAACGGCCAGCGAAAGACAATTTTGCGCAAACTCAGGGAACATTCCAATCTCAGATCTTACGTGTCTGTAGTCAAAGTTGTGACTGTTGATTCTTATCAAGGTGAAGGTAAGTGTTGTGACAAGGGAAGCATGATTATGTGTTGATTTGAGTACAGAAAACGACATCGTGCTGCTCAGTCTTGTTCGATCGACTACGCGCAATCAAACCACCACGAGCCTTGTTCGATCATCAAAGCCCCACAAAATTGGATTTCTCTCTTCAGAGAACAGAGCATGCGTTGCACTCTCCCGAGCCAAGCGTGGATTCTACATCTTTGGAAATGCAGAGTTGCTCGCTTGTGAAAGCGGAACTTGGGCTGCGGTGATTGACATCATGTACGGAAACAAGAAGTTCAAAGTCGTTTCGGGACAGACCAGGCGAATTGGATATCAATTCCCACTTCAATGCTCTGTCCATGGCCGCAAGATCTGGGTTGAGGAACCTGGAGACTGGGAGCTTCTCCATGGTGGTTGTGACATCAGATGTACCGGAGTTCTGCCATGTCAGCATCGATGTCCTTACATGTGCCATCCGTGAGTTGCGGCCAATAATGTGTTCTGTACAGATATTGACAAATTCCTAGCTTTGAACATGATCGTGTCAACTGCACACAGCAATGCTCAAGACGCATCGAAGCTTGCGGTCACGCATGTGTCGGTATGTACTCGCCGGTTGGTTGCTCAGCTTATTGTGGCCATACTAATGTTCCTTAGAATTGTGCTGTGATTCTTGCAAATGTCGTACTTGCGAACGTCGCACCAACGGCGTCAAGTCAATGTTGAAACCCTCGATCCATGGAGCTTCTGCATTTCAGACATCTTCATCTCGGGCGCCGCCATCGCGTACCCAACCATCCCGCACGCATGCATCGGCTGTCAACAGTTCAAGGAATTCAAGGGGCCCTACTACAGCCAGCTATGTGCAAGGATCTGACAGTACCACAGAGCAGTGGGAAGCTTACGCAAATGGAGGTGTGGTAGTGGATGACGCTCGGGCAATGGCGCTGAGGTTAGAGGAGGATGCCAAATATACGCAAGCTCTTCGCACTTCCACACCGGTACATAATACAGTCTGTCCAACAGGACAGCCCGCTCCGTCAGTCAATAGACTGGTCGACATATCGCCCGAGAAAAAGGTTACATCCAAGAACACAGATTTGCTTGTGGATCTAGATCTTGATACCGAACCTTTGCCCGGACGCCAGCGTTATGCGGATACATTACCCATCAGGTCTTCTGGACATGGGGCTAGTGGAAGCGTAAACTTCAATCTTCTGGATTAGCTGGGGTAAGTAGGCGTCCTTTGGTGAAGTCAGGCAGTGTAGTGATATGTAAAGAGAGAATGCACCGGGCATTCTGTGTAGGAGTATGATGGGACTTGGAACTTTTGATTATCGGTTGCGGGCCATGCACTCAGCATGTGGCCAACAGAGACGAATGATGTAGCTACTGAAAACTCCAGCAAGAGGCAACATGCCCGGGGTATACAGCTTAACAATGGAAAATCCCACACAAACCCTGTCTCTTCCTCTGACCACCCATTAGTCCTTCCTAGCATTATCCATCTTGACCTCAAAAACCTCACCAGCCAACTTCGCAACGTCGCCGCCCAGCTCTGCCAGCCCAGCCTTGATATTCTGCAACGTCTCCGGCCTCAGATTACCCGCTTTCGAGTAAAAGTCCACGCCCGCAGGTGTGAACAAGGTCTTTGCAAAATAAGTAACCGCCCACCCATTCCCCCCTTCCTCATCTCCATAGCCCAAGATCTCCCACTTACTACTTGCAATCATCAGCCAGCCCTTTCCGCGCCAATTATAACCCAAGTACGCTTTCTCGCCCTGCTGAGCATCATTGGCAGCAGCAGTGGTAGTATTCGTAGATGTCGCAACGTTGGGATCATGATTAGGATCGTACACATTAAACGGCTTATCAACGCCGTGAATTGATTTGATTGTGTCTGAGGTGAGGGATTGGTATGTGACTACATCGTCTATCTTTGCGGGGGTGGTGCCGGTCAATGGCGTGTAGCTTATCTGGACGTTGCGGGCCTTTTTCCACATGGGAAGGGTGGAGTGGGTTACGTGCCAGGTGCCTGAGAGCCATTGGAGGGTTGGTGGGGGGATTTGGGCAGGCGTGGTGCCGGGTTTGGGTTGCAGAGTAGAGGGGAGGCGGAGGTGGACGGGAGTTGCCATTGTGTTGTGGGGAAGAGGTTAATGGCTTGGTAGCGAAGTTGGTTTCGCTTGGCAGGATGTACCGTACAGTCCCGAATGGATTTAACGTGAGTCGTGTGTATTGCGTAAACTGTATGATGATGAATCCAATGTGTTGTAGAAGGTGGAGCGGGGACGCGCGGAGGGGAGGACTACCGGGAGAGTTGTGAGCATGGAGGCTGGAAGGAGTTGAGAGGGAGAGGCGGGATGTGGCTGTGAATAGGGGTGGCTGGGGGAAAAGGCAGGCAAAGCATCTGCGATGGGCAAATGGGAAGTATTGATCTGATTACTGTGATTGTAACACCTTGGGCCACACTTGTTCATCTACTGGAGCTGCCTAGGTAT